ACCCTTTCAATTCAAACAAGATTCCTTTGGTTGTGATTTAATCAAATAAATGAATGAATGTCATTATGATGTCATCGTTGACATGCATAGATCAAATTCATTACGTGACATAAAATCGTAATTTATGAATGAATTGTGTTTTTTCTAATAATGTTATTCAGTGAGGGCGAAATATTGATGTCTACCAGTGAGGATGACAGTGTTCCATGTAAGTGAAATTTTTACCTTTCATTTAGTATATTGTGTAGAAATCCTATGATGATATCTGATTCAGTTCCATAACGAATGTTTGGAATACAAAATGAGTAGAGAAAAGTGCTTTTTTTGTATAATTCAGTGTTCATACAAAAGTATTTGTTTCGAAAGAATTTTCTTTCGTTTAATTCAATGTGTATATGAAAGTAGCTGTTTCAGAAGGGCTTTTTCTTCCAGTTTGTGTGAAGGGTACTTCTCTGCATGATCTACACATCTATGTATAGAGTTACTTCATTTAAAATTGATTGCTTCCTTATTTTATTTGGAAGATTCTCACATTTTTTTTATCAAGATGTAGTAGTAGAAAGCAAAAAACTATCTTTTTCAAAAACCAAATGGAATTCCTTCCATTTATGAACATTTCCAATTTGCAATTATTTTAGGTTCTTTTTATGGCTACTTCAACCATTTTTTGCTCGTTTTATCAGTACAATTACGAATATTACTGAAGTTTAATCTCAACACCAAACCATTATTTTTAATAAACTGAGTTTAATCTTCCTCATGAAGATGATTACTTAGTGATTGAAACACGTGTCGAGGTAGTAAAAACAACAGTTTGGTGATGGGATTGAACTCCAGTAATATTCATTACTACACCAAAAGTTCCAAACAGTGCATCACAAGCATAATTACCTCAGAAACACATGGTAAAAGTGAAACAAATTTTATGGAAATCATTCTTGAGTATGGGATAAATCTAAATATACTAAGGATTAAAGAGAGAAATACGAAGGACTGAAGAGAGAACTCTTGAACAAAACTCTTGAAAAAGACCAAACCGTGTACACTTGTTTTTGGCCTCATCAGAGGGATGCAGCCAAGTGCAAAGTTGGCAACAATTGGTTGCCGACAATAGAAAACATCATATATGAACAAAGTCAAGTCAAATTGTCAAGTCTACAGAATCTTCCTCATTAGAAACAATTAGATCTGGCGTTCCACAAGGGTCTGTCCTAGGTCCAGTTCTTTTTCTATTATATATAAATGATTTGACAAGTATACATATATCCGGTAGATTCACTTTATTCGAACTTTATTGTGTTTTTAATGTATGTACTATGCATGTGTGTGTCTGTTGGTGTGTGTGTACACACACCTTGTACTGATTTTAATATTTTATATGTATTATTTTGCACTATTTTTAAGCTTTGTAACCATGATTTATCATGTATACAATAATGCATATTCTCTCTCTCTCTCTCTCTCTCTAAGTCACCAGCAGGAGCTGACCCAACATTTTTGGTTTCAGTTAGATAACCTAAAATTCACCGGAATCACGTAAGAATCCCGTAGGCAGCTGTAGCTACCAACGTGACTCCCAGGTCCAGAATAAAAATAATTAAAAATATAACGGTTCAGATCAAACATACTCATACACATCTTTCAGCGAAATGAAAAGTTCTAGACTCGTGTTAGGTTCCAATTTTGATTTGGTTCTGCCAGTTTAAGGGTTAGGTTAGCAGAACCTAAGGATGAAAAGAAGGACAAAAAGAAAACAACAAGTAACAAATCAGAGAGAGATTCAAAAGTGGGCTAAAATTCCTAGTATATTCAGGTAAGTAGGTATATCTCATACTGAAAATATATTTCCAGAAAACAAGTTTCCATTTCATCATGTGCGCTTGAGGCAATCACCCGAATCAAAAAAATATGCAAGAAAGAAAGGTTTTGGCTTTCTACTTCTCCATCTTTATGAAAAAATTTATTTCGAGAGGGCTTTTTCTTCCCGTTAGTAACTGGAAGTAACTTCTATCTAAAGATTTTTTTTAATTCATTACTTTCTTCATTCCTTTGGAAGTTTCGCACATTTTTATATAGAGATGGTGAATGTAGAAAGCCAAAATCTTTCTTTCCCAAAAACTAATGTCAACTAAAAATATGCTCACCCCTTAAAACAATAAGCAGAATTTTGTTCCAATAGGGAAACGAAGAAACTTAAAATTAGCCCTAAATAATAGCAAGTTCACAATACATACAGGATGAATTATAACATTGAAAGATTATAATTGAAATACATACTTTAGATTCTACAAAAAATTTGAAAAAATAAGAAATATAAAACATTATTGAAAAATTAACAAATGTGAATGGTCATTTCTTAACCCCTATCTTCGCATCTGTTCACAAGAACATCAATTCCATTGTGAATTGGATTTTTTGGTTGAGAGAGTTTATATATAATAAAAAATCGTTCAGTGTCTTAATTTATTACAATAAAGCCTGTTGACTTATCGTATTTATTTTAAGCTATGTTTGAAGTTGTAATGAAAGTATAAACATTTTCAACCTGAAATCGTAGATAGGTGAAGTATAAAACATTATTGAAAAATTAACAAATGTGAATGGTCATTTCTTAACCCCTATCTTCGCATCTGTTCACAAGAACATCCATTCCATTGTGAATTGGATTTTTTGGTTGAGAGAGTTGATATATAATAGAAAATCGTTCAGTGTCTTCATTTATTACAATAAAGCCTGTTGACTTATCGTATTTATTGTAAGCTATGTTTGAAGTTGTAATGAAAGTATAAACATTTTCAACCTGAAATCGTAGATAGGTAAAGCATGCAACAGATGTGTAGAGCCTTTTATGCATTCCTCGGTGGTGTATGAAGTTGAACTTCATACTTGTTACACATACCTATTACTCACTTAATAAATTAAATTATTAACGTAATCTAATTTATGATCTCTTTAATAAGTATTTTTAAAAACAAAAATAAAACAAAATACTTTTCTTCCTCACTTATTAGAAAATGATTACAGTAAACTAATGATCTGATCAAGGTTCTAGAAACTCAATAGTGAAAAAATTGTATCGCTAAATTTAAGTCAACTTATGATGCATTGATTGGAACCTTTGGTGTGGTAATGAATATTACTGGAGTTCTTTCCCAACACCAAATCGTTATTTTTAACACCTCGACACGTGTTTCGATCACCAAGTGATCAACTTCAAGAGGAATATTAAAGTGGAAACTTTCCTAACTAACGCTAGTTATGCTATACAGTTATCTATACAGGTAAACCATACAGGTATACCACCTATACAGGTATACCACCCTAAATTAATTTTAAAATTTGCCTTATCTATTATTTTTCAATATGTCCTTATGTAGTGTTTAAATATTATAGTTATATATAAAACAATTTTCAGCTATAATTTCGATCACCAAGTGATCAACTTCAAGAGGAATAGATACCATTTTAATCTTCCTCTCGAAGATGATCACTTGGTGATCGAAACATGTGTCGAGGTGTTAAAAATAACGATTTGGGTTGGGAAAGAACTCCAGTAATATTCAAATTTAAGTCAAGTTAGAGAAACACCATGTATTTTTTTCGAACATAAAAAAAATTATATTTATGTTTAAATAGAAAGGGTTATTTTTTAGGAGTGACTAATTTTAAGGAAAGAAAGTTTTTGGCTTTCTACTACTCCATTTTGATAAAAATATGTAGGAATCTTCCAAAGAAAAGAAGAAAGTAATCAATTTTGAAATAAGTAACTTTCCTATACATGGATGTGTAGATCATTCAAAGAAGTAACTTTCAGACACAAACTGTGTTTTTTCGTATAATGTTATCCAGATTGGTACTGAAAAGCCCTAAGGTAAATGTCTTCCGGCGAAACATCGATGTCTACCAGTGAGGATGACAGTGTTCCATGTAAGTGCAATTTTTTACCATTCATTTAGTGTGAAACTCCTGTGAATGATACCTGATTTTATTCCATAACGAATGTTTGGAATACAAACTGAGTAGAGAACAGTGTATTCTGTATAATTCAGTATTTATATAAAAGTATTTGTTTCGCAAGAATTTTTCTTTCATGTAATTTAATGGTTATATAAAAGTAGCTATTTCAAAAGAGCTTTTTCTTCCAGTTTGTGTCTGAAAGTTACTTCTTTGAATGATCTACACATCCATGTATAGAGTTACTTATTTTAAAATTGATTACTTCCTTCCTTTCTTTGGAAGATTCCCACATTTTTTGTATAAAGATGGAGTAGTGGAAAGCCAAAAACTGTCTTTCCCATAAATATTTATATTCAAAACTGATTAGCGAATGATTAGATCGAAGTAATGGTGTAGTCAACGTTCTGAAAATCTCAATAATAAAAATGTAAGGTTAACTTGACGTCACGTATTTAAAAAAACTAAAATATTCTTCTCTGCAAGTATTTCACGAATAATTGAAGCAAACTAAGAATCTAGTCAAAGTTCCCAATATCTCAATAATAAAACGTTGTATAGCTAACTTGACGTCAAATTAGCAACAGGTATTTTTTTAAATCAGTAAACAAATATTTTCTTGGTAAACTAATTAGCAACAAAATAAAAAACAATGGCGGCAATTCGTAAAATCATTAGTTTTGAGTATTTTGAAAAGTGCCTCGCTAATATACATTGTTCCTCTTTTACTTAAAAAAAAAAAGGATTTTCTTTGGCGTACTGGAATATGAAGTGTCTATATGAAATGTTGAATTAATTGACATAAGATTTATAGTAGATATGTAAGTAAACAATGCCATTTTTCATACTGAATCACGCCAGCGGAGAAGTAGACACGGCCTTACATAAGTATTCTGTTTTGGAGGTTATGATGTTACTTTCACTACTTGTTTACAAACATTAAAGACTTTTTCTAACTTTAAGAGGTTGGCACCTCTTAACCATCCTATAAAATCAGCTGTTTTGAAGCTGGATTTGATCTTTGAAGTTTGAACTAAGTCACTTACCAACATGAGTTTTCTGGCCTGGAATTCTTTCCTCCAGAAGCTCTTTGTCGTAAAAACGACTGCAACTTTTGTTTAACTTCTGTGGAAGCCACTGCACTTTCCTCATGTTTTTCTTTTTTTCGTAAAGCTTCCAGTTGTTCGCGTTGCCTAAGCTCTTGTAACTGTTTCTGTCTGTCCCAAAACTCTTTCAGATGTTGTCGCAACTGCTGCTCGTGTTGCTCCACCAAGTGCTGTTGCTGCTGTTGAAAATGCTGCAGCAAAATCTGATGTTGCAGCTGTTGTTGTTTCTTGATCTGCAAGATTTGCTGTTCTAATTCGCGTTCTGGTGGTTCGCGATGTTGCTCTGCCATATCCTATTTAATTATTTGGTTCATCGCACACTTACACAGGTCACACACTCAATAACACTCAGGAACACCGACTTTTTACGAGATCATAACAATCGCGACTAAAGACTAAACTAAAACTGGTGGGCTGGCGACGAGCGATGAGTGTAGGTGCAGAACGAAGAGTAACCGTGCAGTAACCGTTAAATAACGTAATGAGCAAAACATCCAAAATGAGTGCAATAATCAAAACAGGAGCTGCCTCAAGTATCTTTCGATCTTTGTCTTCAACGACCTTGACGTCAAGTCAAGTTGTTCACATAATCGCAATGTGGTAAGCGCATTCGGTTATTCCAATGCTTTACGCTAAAAATCTCCTGGGAGGTTTGGAGTTGGAATATATTGGAATATATAATTAGGAGGTTGAAACTTTCACGAAAATAATCCTAACAATTTTCAATTCAAGCTTCCTTGAATGTTGAAAAAATGACTCTGCTATGCATTTTTACATTGAAATTTAATCTGAATCCAAACCAACCTTAACCTAGCATGCAGTAAAAACATATATGAACACCATCACTAAAATGGGAAATATTCCATCCCAGCATAAAGTCAGAAACTGCCGTATAATGCGAAAGAATCGTATGTGTCAATTCTTGAATATAGGAAATACGTGCTCGGATTGGATGCCCGCAAGGAAGATTCCGTAAGAAATAACCATCTCTTATGTTAAGGATACGTTTTTGTATTCACGAAGTGACGTTAGGTGATCTATAAATCGAGCTTCACACACTTACACAGACTACCAGGCAATGACAATAAAACAACTAAGCCAATGCATATCTCCACAGGAAAGGTTCCCAGAAATAAATCTATTTTTTAGCTTCTCTTTGTGGTTTAATTTTCTTGGAAATAATTTTGAATCACCTCTTTATCATGTTTTTCGTTATCTAAAGCATTTCGTCAAGATAAATTCATGTTATGTATTACTTCTGATCTTGAAGAACATAGCAAGGTGATATTTACAATCCAAGAACAATGCAGAGTTCAAGTACTTATACCAAATGGTCTCAATATTTTTGCACCAAGTTCGCATACGGTGATATGCAAATACATTTTACAAATAATAAATGAGAGGTACCAGAATATAATAGGAAACTTATGAGAAGAAATTAAAGACAGTTTTTATAAATTATGTTTCAAAATATCCTTAAAAACATTTTAATACATGTTGAATACCACTGTATACTTGGTCACGATATTCGAGGTGCGCATGATCAGTAGTTAGTAGATCGCTCACTAACGCTTAATACTGCCAAATCAAGAAAGCATAAGTGAAACTATTTTTAAATCGAATGCAAATTTTCATTATCAATTTAATTTTGGTGTAGGTAACTCGGATATTTCAACTTCTATCGGTATAATGTAAATTGTGAATGAGGTTGGCATAGGTTGGGTTGGGCTATGATGAAGAAATAGTCTAATTTAGATTTAAAGGTCGGAATTCACAAATAACATTGTGAGATTAAGATTTTTTTCCCTTCCTAAACCACAGAAGCCAATTTGGAAGACATTCATCTAAAAGGCTGTGTCCAGAGAAAAAAGGGAAAATGCTGCACTGTTGTGATCTGTTTGAAATGAATAAACGGTACAAATAACAGCACTAAAAATTTAGATTGTTAAGCCAGGTATTCCCCTTTTTCTGAAAACCTAAAACTTTCAAATTCATCCATGAAGGTGCTGGCTGTCTAAACTTTGTTTCTTTGAGTGGTATATAGATGACAGCCTCATTGGCCAGTTGCCAAACACTTTGACACATTTGGTGAAGCGTGTTCAAGTAGTGTTACGTTTATAACCGTGTTTTTAACAGTGTAACATGTGGTTTGGTTTCAAATCAAATCAAAATAGCTTTATTACCCAAGATCTGAACATCTTATTGACAAAGTGTAGTAAAGTAAAACGTGTATATGGGACAATTGAAAAATATAAACTATAAAATAATGCTTAAAGATAAGATCAAAGTATATGGACAGAAAAATATTAAGTCCATTGTTCGTCGTCGTGATTTCAAACAGGTCGGAGCCTGGCTCCCTTACCCTTTCATCTGATGTTTGTCAGAGGGACAAACGGGTCATGACTGATGGTAAGATGGCGACATGAATGTTCTCAGAACATTAGTGCCGCCCTTCACGGTGTACTCCTACCTGGCTGGGGTGAGATGGATGAAAAGATTGTTCATCTTTTAACGGAGGACATAGCGGCCTCATTCGACAGAGTGTCGAGGCCTTCTATATCGGGAGGGATCGTCTATAGCTTCCCTAACTAACGGATTATCATGAGTTTCTGCGCAATCAAAAACTCGCTGATTCCTCGACTGAATGGACTGCCGAATGGAAGGCAGCTGCAAATCTCTGCGGATGGCTTCATTCCGCACGAACCAAGGAGCATTCACAATCATCCTCATTAACTTATTTTGCAATCTCTCCAGAATGGAAATATTAGACGGAGCCGCTTGTCCCCAGACGCCTGAAGCATACACGATGACAGGATTGAACATCGTGTCGTAGATGGTAATTTTATTCTTAAGACTCATTTTGGATCTTCTGTTGATCAGAGGGTACAGACTGGCTATCCGGCATTCGATCTTTATTTTAATTGATATAATGTGTGGGTTCCAAGTGAGCCTGTGGTCTATTAGAAGGCCGAGGTACTTTACCCGCGTTGCCAGTTGATCTCCCTTTCAGAGACCCTCACTTTTCTAGCCGGAGAAGAGATCGTTCTTCCCAAGGTTATCACCTGAGTTTTTACTGGGTTCACTCGTATCTTCCACTCAAGGTACCAGCGCTCGAGATTGTCCAATGCACGTTGCATATAGACGATCCCGAGCTCCCGACCCATGGAAGATGAGAGGAGAGCCGTGCCATCGGCGTAGAGAGACACCTTCACACGCTCGGACTTCGGAAGGTCGCTGGTGTAGAGCGAGTATAACGTGGGAGAGAGCACAGGTCTCTGTGGCACATATTGTATATACGCAGGTCTTATCAAAAGAAATTATTAGTTCTGAAAAGAAAAGAAAGACTGACATTTTCTTATTTTTTTTTTGATTCGCCAGCGTCTGAAATTTTACTATCATTTGAGCAACTTACAAAATGAAATTGTACTAGTTTCATTGCTTTCGAACGCATTTCATTGGGAATTTTAAAGTTGATATGTTGGATATACAAAATTACCAAAAATGATGTCATTCTCTTCTTAACGTGAATATCCTGTATATGAATATATGAATATTGGGTAAATGTAAATATATAATGCGAACATTTCGTGTTGATTTTGATAACTTGTTTACACAAAGCTACATGTCAATTACTCGATAGAGTCTTGGTAGAATTCGTCTACATACTATAATAGGGCCTCCCAACAAGGAATTCTTTTAGTTTCTTTTTGAATTTCTTTTCATTCATAATTTCTTAAATTATTGGGAATAAGGTGATTAAATAACTATTGAGCTAAAATAAACTGATCTTGATATAGTAGTGTCTAACTCTCTCGCAACAACTCTCACTGCATGAACTCCTGCTGCTAGTCTTTTACATAAGTAGTCGACATGGGAATCAAATTTTAGATTTTCATCAATGAAGGCCCTAAAAATTTGTTTTTCTCCAAATTTTCAATTTTAACATTTTCCAAGTGTACCTACTTCCCCTATTTTACATTTAACGTAACCACATTTTTGTTTTGTCGATATTGAATGATAAAAAGATTGGTTCGAACTATCTTTGAATCTGGTTTATTTATTTCATCTCCTTGAACATTTACTAACTTGTTCAGGTCTATAATTCAGTTTTCGTATTGAGTTATTGAATGAAACTGAAATAGAAGACGTGGTGAAACGAAAGAGGTGTTGTTTTAAATATGTGAAATAGTGAAAGACATCGAGTTGGACATTTACCAAGCTTGGATTGAAAGAGTTAAACCCCATTCTTACAAAAATCTAGGTTCAGCAGGTTCAGTTGTGGATACCAAAAGAGGCTAGATGAGAGTTTTTTCAATATTGTGCGAAATATTCTTAAAGAAATTTTCAAAGTAACACTTTGAGATTAGAATATAACTGAAAAATGCCTTATTTTAGATTTTTTTATTTTGTTGAAAATATTGCGAATACACTTTCAAAGACCATGTTACAATAAATAGAAATTAATATTAATATAAGTTACAAAAAGGATTTGAATCTTCATAACTCCTATTTAATTATATGCGAACGCTTTCGACAGCTGGTCGTACTGTCATCATCAAGGCTCTAGTCAAACCGAACGAGTCAACCTGTTGTCGGCATATATCCATCGACATAACGCGGCCCTACGGCACTCTTACGGTATTCATGAGACACATTTGAAATTATTCGTTAGTCCACCTTCAGGTTCATACAAGCTAATAAGCCTGATGTAGTCCTTCTCGACCATCAGAGCAAGAAAATATTTATCGTGTAGTTTTCAGCTCCTGGCGAGATGAATATCGTTCGAAAAGAGAAGAATAAAACAGATAAAATATCGAGATGTTTTCTTCGAACTCTGCAGACTCTACACATACCTCTCTGTCAAGATGGTTATTCTCTACTCTCGAAGGATGTCATTCTTGGCTCACTGCGCTTATTCAGTGCACATGAGTCTCGGACCCAATGATGACTTACCTCACAGTGTGGGGAGTGGTTATAGGTTGATGATGCTGGCGCGCCCTCTCGAATGTATCGGGACTTCAGGGAATAGAGCTTGACTAGCGCAAACTTGGCTTAAAAAAATAATAATAATGACCACTATAACTTCACGGTCATGCAAAGTGGTCATTGGTTAACGATGCTGACACACCCTCCGAGTGGGCGCGAGCTTTAGGTACAAAGCCTGACCAGCAACTCTATTTTACATAATGATGATGGTAAATAGACGAATACAGAAGGTTGTCATTCTTGGCTTATTGTGTTTGCTTGAGACACATTAGTTTCAGACCCCATGATCACATATACCCAAGTTGCCATTGGTTGATAATGTTGGCACATCTTCGCAAATGTATCGGGACTTCATAGAGAGTACCCGACCATCTCAACCTCCGGTCGGGAATAATAATGAGACTTTGGCATATCAATATACCTGACCTATGCGCTCCTCAGATCGAATGAATAGAAAACCTGGCAATGGGTCCAGGGTCTGCCACGAGAGACATGCCACTTTCTGTCGGCATGTACAGCATATGCGGTCTTAGCCTATATCCATCCACATAACGTGGTCCTAATAAAACTGCATTACCACCCAACGGCACTTTCATGCTATTGACGAGACATCGGTACCGAATTGATTGGAACTATTCATTCACCACCCTCAAGATAATACAAACGAATAAGCCTGATGTCATCCTCAAACATCAAAGTAAAATGATATTCACCGCTTCTTTAGCTCCTGGTGAGCCGAATATTGTCCGAAAATAGAAAAAAACTCCAGCTCGGCATACTCTATTCAAACTCATTTAAAATGGTTCTTCTGACTGTTGGAGTTATTGGTGGAATAATGGCCTCATTACTCTCGAATCTCAAGGATATGCTGACTTGCTACCGCAAGACAAAAATTGCGTCTACTTAGGGCACCCATTTCTCGGACCCAATGATCACTCACCTTACGGTTTGAAGAGTGGTTATTGGTTGGTAACGCCGGTGCACCCTCTGAATGTGTATGAGCTTCAGGATAGGGTTCGAACAGCTGAAAATTTTGAGGAAAAAAACAATAACAAAAATTATCACCATTTACATAAAGATGTTTAGGTGAATACAGTCGGAGTATCAGCCTAGACTAGATGTTTCTCAACTCAACATTTTTGTTAGTTTTAACATACAGGCATTCTATTGATACTAATGCTGTGTTTTGTATTACCACTGGTGAATAATTAAAATGGATCATGAAAAGAAATAGTTGTAAGAAAAAACAAAACCATATATTCATTTGTGTCATAGACGAAGTCATTAATGAACAATAATATTTTGAATATACTGACCTGTTACTCGATGAAAATCAATAACACTATTCGTGATAATGATTGCAAATGTTAATAATATAGACTTCATTTTCAATAGGCGTTTCAGTTCAAAATAGTTTCCTCAATTGAACTAATGAAACTTTCATGCAGATGATACTAATGTGAAACTACTATGTAGTGAAACGCGTATCATAAGTAAAGTCTACATAGTGAAAATTTGTGATTATTATCATAAAACAATAACGCCAAAGTGTTGATATATTATGGGGGACTGCAATTGAAAACAGAAAGTTTTGACTTTACAACTGAAATGCTTCAGAATTGTTATATAAACTTTCTTTCCATAGAAACAAGGATGAAATCATATTATGAATTTTCTTTTCCTTTTTAAGTGCATAGCGACGAAAGCCAGGCACGACATCTATCTCAAATATTAGAACTATGTAAAACGGTAAAACAAACACAAAGTGATGGCAGCTGTCTTCTGTCCTGCACTGTTGCCATTCATCAGTTTTATAGAAAAACCAATGATGATTGAGAGTAAAGCGCGTTGTCATATCTAAATTTTACGTTACCAGTTTATAGCAGAATCAAAATATAGGAAGCAGTAGAGTTGTAGGTTGTGGCAAATTATAGATAATACACAATACTAGTCGATTAAAAGGTATTATTTATGACAAAAATCAGTAATGAGCTTGTAATGAGTAATACTTATACATTTCCTGATTACTGATCAGTTAAAATTAATTATTTTCTGTATAGTGTTAGATATTTATTACAACTAGTGGCAACGCTGTACGCAACGATATTTCTGTCTTTGTCACTTTACCGTAACTTCCATCTCATCGTTGCAGTCCTCACTAATGTACTTGCAGCCATGAGCGTATCATTGGTTTGTGAATTATACAGCGTGAATTGTACGTTTTACAGTTAAGTTAGTCAGCAATCGACGTGTTGTGATAACAATTGGTGAAAATAATAGTGCTAATAAGTGTTTAAGCGTTACATAATTATATTTCTACACCGTTCTCAAACTACTCAAAAAATGGGAGACATGGTCGGGCCTTCCACGTCGAAAAAGGTAAAACGGTCGGAGTCTCGGTCAGTAAGAGAAAAACAAATTGTACTGCGAGTATTTCACCGTCTTGAAAGAGATCATCAGCCACCAAAAGATGACTTTGTACATATGTGCTGTAATTCTACGTGTGTACCTCCGAATGACCAACCGGGCATTTCTACATCATTAAGTTCCACAATTACAAAAGACAAATTAGTTGATATGTGCTCTGATTATACCAGTGTACCAAAATCATCGATTTACAAAATACTAAGAGAAGCAGAAATTCATGGGGACGTACAAACGCCAAAAACTAGTAACGGACGAAAAAAAATCACAGTTGATGAAGAAGCCAAAACCAGTATACGCAGAACTATTCACAATTGTTTCTTTTTCAGAAATGAGCTGCCCATACTACAAACAGTTCTGGAGGCACTTAGCGATCATGAATTGGACCCAAAAATGGGTAAAGAAACTTTTAGGAAACTTGTACACGAAATGAAATTTACGTACGGAAAAGTTGACAGGAAAGGCATTTTCATTGAACGTCAAGAAATAATAGCATGGAGAAGAAACTATCTAAGAAAAATTGACGAATTTCGGAAGCTCGAAAAAATTGTACTTCATGGACAAGACATGGGTTAACCATGGACATACGGTCAAAAAAGTATGGCAGGATGGTAATATAACAAGTGCACGATAAGCCTTTATTGAAGGTTTGTCAGTTGGGTTAAAACAGCCATCTGGAAAAGGTAGTCGTCTGATAGTTACGCATATAATTACGAAACAAATTAACCTTTAAACAACTCAAACATCGAAAATTCCTGAAATAGTAAGGATACCCTTCTATTCACATTCACTTTGTGTGCTTTTTGATAGCAGTGTTCTCATATAGACGAACTCATATCGTACTCATAATATGAATGACTTCCATGATCAACAGGTGTGTTGTATTCAATAAATATATGATAATTGTCTGAATTACTAGTTTATAGGTGCAAACGTTTCATTCCCAAATAACAATTAAACACTAGTACTTATAGTAAACAATTCATAAATATATTGGAAATTCTAAAAAGTTTACAAAATGCATACTTCGAAACGAATAGCAGTTATATTGAAGAGAAATGCAAATGTAGCGATAGAAAAATTTCATCACTATCGAAATGAAAAGATGAGTTATACCATCTACGCATATTACTTTATTTTTAACATCCGTGTCCAGAACCGATTTATAGTATCACTAGCGATTCGACCCGGCTCCGCACGGGTGCAATGCTGATACTAAATGTAAATTCAATCACCGGAAATTAAAGGGCATGGAGAAACAGTGATGAAAAGGTAACTTCATTTTATGAGCGCGCCTTTTTATTCGCGCCAGGCGCCCCAGTTGAAATATTCAAAAATCCTTTCTTATTGATGCACATCTATAACATAAAACGAACTTACATACAAAATTTCAGCATCACCGGTACAGAGAAACAGTGATGAAAATGTTATTTTCATATGTAAACGCGCCCCTTTTATCCACAATGGGGGGCGCTCTATAATCGGAATACTTGAAATTTTTTTCTTAGTGCGCTTCTAAGACTAAGAATCACCTAAATACCAAATTTTAGCTCCCTAGGACTTATCGGTACGAAGAAACAGAGATGAATGAGTGAGTGTTAAGTGAGTGACTTTCGCATTTATAAGTATAGATATGCTTTCATTTTTGCAGTGAAAAACGTAGAGACATAAAAAACGACTCTTTGTCAAGCGGTTGATGTCAAAGTTGGCTTAAACCACTATAAGTATCTCATTTATCTTTTACGAGCGTTTATTTCTGTCGATCTCAAAGATGACTTTCTCGTTTCAAGCTCCAAACTGAAGGATCTACTAATCAAATATTTTAATTTATTTAACCAAAAAAATTATGACAATATCTACAGAATGTAATACTCGTAAGATGGTTCATACGTTCTAACAACATTCGTTGTGCAACTTAACCTAAAACACATCAAACAGAGGGTATATCAAAACTTTTACGAATGTAACATTGAGTAACTAATCATTTATTCTTATTACTATCCTTTCAGCATAGTATCAATGTATTTTCTACATTAACGCCCCTATGGTATTCGTAGAATTTAATTTCTCCAACTTTTTCAACATTTTGAACATACGATTATCCTGAAACAAATTTATATTAAAAAATTTTTTGATATACTCATTCAAAATAATCTAAGCTTTCGTTAAAATTTGAGAAACAGAATTTCGAATATGGTTGAAAAAAAAATCCTATGATAAAACATTATGTTTACAGACATCAAAATCAAAAGATAAATGGAGAAAATATTTATATACATTATATCTCCTGCGATTTTTTTAATAAAATTGCTTTGTGAATTTATTTTGTGACGAACAATTCAAGTTGATGAAAGAAAGGTTTAAGAAAAATAAAGAAGAATAAGAGCTGTGTCAAGGATTGCTAAAGGGAACCTTAAAATAATGGAAAGTTTTTGTAAAAGTATTTTTACCTGATGAGTTTGTTATTGAGTGGATTATTTTATAAAATTGCTTTGTGAATTTATTTTGTGACGAACAATTCAAGTTGATGAAAGAAAGGTTTAAGAAAAATAAAGAAGAATAAGAGCTGTGTCAAAGATTGCTAAAGGGAACCTTAAAATAATGGAAAGTTTTTGTAAAAGTATTTTTACCTGATGAGTTTGTTATTGAGTGGATTATTTTATTTTCAAATGGATTTTCTCATTTTTCTTCGAAATTCAAATTCAGGATCACACTTATACACTGGGTCTAAGATATGGAGGGGCAGTATAGGAAAATCGAAATCCTTAAGATACAAAGTTGGTTGAATAAAAAAAACGTGTAAAAATATCCGAAATCATCTAGAATAAAAGTACCTAATTGTCGTTGAAACTGATGTCCTAAAAACTGTAAGTGTCAATTTTCTAATTGGAAAACAAATATTTCCACTCCAAAGTCTGAGACCAGGTTCAGATTAGAAGCGATTTCGAATGTGTGATTACCGTTACCTATTCATTTATTACGTAGTTTATTCTGTTATAAAAGTTGTGTTGAAATTGGGAAAAGATGATTTTCGTCTAATTCAGTGCCTTTGGGAAGAATTATTTCAAATGGATTTTTTTTTGTTTCAGAAAGAATCATCTGAGAATGATCTATCTAGACTTGTTCTCAAAATGTTTTCCTGTCTATATTTCTAGAAGCATGTCGTCTTTTCTTCGAAAGTTTCTCATTCTTTATGTATTAATGAGGAAGTTGAAAGCCAAAAAACGTTTTTCCTAATCTTAGAAAACATTTTACTGACCACCATGTGTGATAGAGAGAGGGCCCTCTCCAAATAATTCTTCACGATTTCTGTATGTGCTTCGTAAACCGCTTCCCTATCACTGTAATTATTTAAGATTTTCATCCAGCACCGGATAAATTCCACAAATTCCCGCCAAGAACACTCCTTCACTTCTAAACTGCAGTTTACTTCAACGAATAAGTTCGTGCAAGACATGAAAGCTATCCAACGATTTCTCTTGAGAATTTCCGTCATACAAACCAAACATTTAACTGTCAAATCTTGCTTTTTGTACAGATCGAGAAGCTTAAGAAAAACGGCCTGCACCTTCAGAGGAGAAAGCTGAATGAAGATATCCGTTGAAATGACAAGATGGAGAAGGTCGAGACCCTTTTCAATTTTTGAAGGAGTACCATGGAAACATGGTGTGAGGTCGGTTACCAGTTTCTCTTCTATGAATGTGTGATTACGTTTCTGGAAATGAAAAAGAAAATATAAAAGGTTTTATAATAAGTGAATTAGCTGACACTTGATGAAAATCAATGAATAACGTATTCAACAACAGCTTACAAAACCACAACACGTGTTTGACTAGAGAGTAGCATTTTCAGGAATTTTCAATAGGTACTTAACTAAATTGTAAGAGAAGTCAAGCTGTAGAATATCAAGAAAGTGTATCAAGTTTTTTATTTGAGAGTACCCCAAGGATCAATATTGGGTCCTATACTCTTCTCTATTTATACATTGAATTTCCCAGATATTTTCCTTTTATGTTTACAGCATTACTACGCTGACGATACTCAGTTATAGGTACATGTCTTTTTTCTTGGATGAAGTGAACCAATCGGTTACTGTTATTAAGTATGACTTACATAATCTTTATATATTTTCAATTAATTATTGTCTACAAGTGAATGCATCTAAGATTAATGCAATCATTTTTGGAAATAAAGTTGATTCACATGTTTTGAAACAAGAATACTCCGCAAAGATTTTAATTAATGTCCATACTATACAATTTAGCGAAAGAGTAGAAAACTTGGAGGTGTTGTTTGTGAAAACTTGGGATTTTCTCACCATTGTTCGCACCAATTGTTTACAAAAAGCTTATATTTCAATCTCTTCATGTGAAGGATAGATCGGTTGTAATCATTATATTTGAGCCATTAATATTAACTAAAATGTCTGTTATATACTTCTTACAAATTCATTTGATATTAATAGAATACAAAAATTGCAAAATGAATGCCATCGACATATTTTTGGTATTCGCAAATTTGAGCATATCAGACACAAATTCGAAATAACTAAATGGTTACAAATGAGAAATCGTCGAGAAATACATTCTACCTTGTTTTATGTTAAACTACTAAAGGAAAACTTTCCACCATATCTGTATCATAAAATGAAATACAGAACTGATATACATTTCCTTAACTTAAGACATAGAAATACTATATCTTGCCACTATACTGAGGTTTTCAAACAATCGTTTTCTTATTGTATCGTTAACCGTCTCAAACACTAAATTACTCATCACTACATGAACTCAAACCAGTTCTTTTTGACTATTATTTTTCTCAATAATAAGTTATTTGGATTGAAATATCTTCTCTTGGCCAACTAATCGCTAAACTATCCCTCTTTCTGTATTGATCTGATTTATTTATTGATTTATTATTGTATTTGCTGTGTCTACATTTTGATAATATGATAATATATAGGTAATATGGTAGGTAATATAGATAATATGGTAGGTAATATGAAAACTGATTTTGACAAATAAAGCAATTAATTACTTAGGTTAGAATCTAGGACAAACAAAGGAACAGGATTGTTGATTGAAAAATTATGGGTTTCTATTGGTTGATAATCTGTATCATTATGAAAAATCTGTATCATAATGGATATCATTATGAAACGGATTATGGTCATATAAGTGTATTGTTAGAGTACGGGTGTAGAAAAAGTAAACAAAATGTATACCACAGCCATTATATTAATATGTAATCATCTTAGAATTTAAGGAATTCATCCACCGTGTAGAACATATTGCTGTAAAAAAACGAATGCAATTCAGATTTAAACCTCATTTTACTAGTATTCGTATCAATAAAAGTTTTTATTTTATTGAAACATTTCAATGCCAATATAATTTGGTGAGTTTTTGCCCGTCGATAATCTTGAAAATAATTCATGAATGTTATCTTTTTGACGTGTATTATGTCCATGAATGTCACTATTCGTGACAAACTATATTCATTTTCTTTCACATACATTATCAATTGGAATATGTAAAGGCATGGAAGTGTCAGGACTTGAATCTGATGGAATAGAGGTTTCTCGTGGATGAGCTCTGAAAATTGCTCTCAATACTTTTTTCTATGAAATGAATGCCTTACCAATGTGTGCTGAAGAGCCCCAGAACAACAAGCCATACTGCAACACTGATTGCGCCAATCCAAAATAAATTAACCTCAAGACTTCGATAGGAACAGTTTCTCTGAGATTTTTTATTATATATGAGATGGTGCTTAGCTTTGAACATACTGTCATTTTTACGTCTAGAGTTAGACCAAGAAATTTCATACTTTCCTTGCTGTGAACTGAACTCCCATTCAGACGTAAGTATAAATCATAATCAGTCGTGACATTCTTCGGTAAGAAACGCATGTAATGTCTTTTGGCTGCATTTGATGCAAGGCAGATGGAAGAGCAGATGTATGTCAACTGTTGAAATTATATTTCATATTGTATTGTATTACATACAAACTGAATCTCGCCTTAACTGTATAAACAAAATGTGATTTATTTTTGGTAATAAAGACATTTATTATTATTAATATTTAATTTGAAGTAAGTGTTGCTGGAAATTTAAATGTAAAGTAAAGCCTGATTGTTGAATTCAGTCAACCACATACTTTACTTATTTGAGCAGCTGTTCATTACTGGCAACGCCACAAAGCAAATATTCTCAGTGACATTTATCGATCACAGGCATTAAAAATAACTTTTTTTATATGTTCCTTTGCAGAAATGCCCGACCATAAGTGCTAATATGCTAGAAATTTAATAATCCTATAGATAATACATATTTACTTAATAATAAGTTCAAAAATCTATCAACTCTAAATCTTGTTGTTGTAGATGGGTATTTATAGGGTCTTTCATTAAGCGTGTTAGAAATCACGTAAAAAGGTAAGACCACCTCGTTAGTCCCGACTTTTGAGAGTTATCGTTCGTAGGGGGACAACAGCTGGTTAAACTGACAGAAACGCTTCCTTTCTTCAAATTTAAATTAAACAAAGTGTGTGAGAGATATCATCAAATTTTTGTATTTGTTTGAAAGATCTATTGATGCCATTATGTGTGGAATATAACATCTTTCAAATGTCCGCCACGGCTTCTCTGGGTGGAGCACATCTGAAACGTCTTAATTTCCATAACTTAGGCGCATAAATCAGGCTGAATTTGACCGATGGCATGGGTTATGTTGGCTTTGAGGAGCGCTTTGGTTGGTGGCTTATTCGCATACATCTGCAATTTAAGAAAACCACACAAGAAAAAATATAACGAGGTCAAATAGCACGATCTCGGTTGCCAGTTCACCCTCCACGTGAGATGACCATGTCCTCAAATCGCTCGTGCAGAATTTCCAATGTGGCGTCGTTCTGATGAAGTCGCATGTCGTTGGTGTCCAGATCATTCAATTCAGGCCAAAAGAAGTTGATAAGCATCGACCAGTAGTGCTCACCGTTGACAGTGATGGGCTGGCCAACGTCGTTCTCAAAGAAATATGAGTCGATGACGCCGCCAGCCCAAAATCCACACCAAACCGTGACTTTTTCGGGATGCACCGGACGCTCCTAGATCTCATGTGGATCCCAAATTCGACAATTTTGTTTGTTCACGTACCAATTCATTCAGAAATGGGCCTCATCGTTGTAGATGATTTTTCGATGAAAATTTGGGTCAGATGCAAACTGCTCCAGAGCCCATTCAACAAACACACGTCGTTGTCTATTTATTTTATTTTATGTCTATTACCTTCAGTTGCTGGGTCAGTTGAATTTTGTACGGATGCAGGCCCAAGTCACGAAGCGAAATTCGCTGAGTTGTGGTCTGTGAAAGGCCGAGTTTTTGTGAGCGACGCGAAATCAACTGCCTTGGATTCTCCAGCACACTCCCACAGACAGTGGCGATGTTTTCGGCAAATTTTGCGTTTCGTCGACGTACGGGTGTTGGTCGATCTTTTTCTGAACCAGTGGACTCAATTTTATCCACCACATTCCGAATAGTCCTCTCGGTAGGACGATTATGGCACGCACAGAACACCCATTTTGAATGGTCGTTGAATGCTATATCCGTCTATTGTGATTTGGCAAAACAGACTGAATAAATTATAAATGACAACATATTAAGTTCGGAAGATTCTGTTAGAAGACCCTACATTATCTGAATTTGTGATGTCTGTAGTGCTCGTTTTTTTAGCACGGGAACCCATGTGATTGACGCAAAATATTTGGATATACCTATAGTATTGTTGATATGCAATGTAGTCTCCAACATAAAATATTGTTACAAATCCCGCTGGTAGCCATAAATCAATTGTGACGTTGCCTAGACCGCGCCAAGCCGACGTTTCGCGGTTGTTCGATGTTCGCACCGGTTCGATAGAATTCCAACGAATATTCTACCGGCTTTGATGGATTTCTGAGGAATTCTTCACTGGTTACGGAATAGTTTGTTTACCGGATATAAACGCTATCCACGAGCATGTCAATATAGTCAAGTTTCGCGTTCCGTGCGGTGCAGAGCGATCTAATAAACCGATAGACATTTGAATAATAGTTGAAGTTTTAGTTAAAGTGTTTTGTTGTGAAATAAAGTTAAGTTTGATTATCATACAGTATAGTCAATTATTGATAAACCCCGTGTAAAACGTAACAATATGTAGGACCATAAAGGCGAAGATTTCAATTTTTTGGATAATTCTGCAAAGTATGATTGTAAAATATTTTCTGAAAAGTTTCCGATCTTCTTGTTATTGCGGAAATTCATGAATTTTCTATAACATATTCCATACAATGTTTTGAATCTTTTGCCAAATCTTCAATAATTTCCATTATTTTAAAAGATATACAAATTTTGTTAGGAGCTCCAAACACAGATCAATCGTTAGAAGCTCTAAGCACAGAATAATCTCGTCTCTAAATATTTTACTTACAAGATCAATGAATAAAATCGATTTTCATTTAAACAATACAGAAAATGTTCATAGCGACCCAGACTTTCCTTAGCAACGGAACGGGTAATGTGATAAACACGTCAACGTTATAACTTTCACTGTGCACACAATTATTATCCATATCCATATAATATTATTGATTAGACAATACGACTTATGTGTTAAGAATCACACGTTAAAAGGTAAGACCTCATTAATCCTTAGCTTGCACAAGTTTCTACTTCTGAGGGTTGTCGTTCGAAGGGGTGCGACAGCTGGTTAACGGAAAAACAGATTTTAAACAGAAAATCAAAAATTATAACATACGATTAGAAGTATACATGAGTGATATCAGTTATATAATAATTTCCTTTCGATTCTTTAAACAAACTGTAGAAACAATACGAGAAAATTATGTTTCACACGACAGAGAAACAGATCGCCTCGGCAATTTCATATTGTTATTTGCCGTGGCCGAGACTTTTAGAGGATTTGCTATCCTGCTTTCAATTTCGTTCAAAACCGAAAGTTTCTGAAATGTTTGTTCTTTTGAGTTACCATGTTTTATTTTCATAACATATGTCAACCTGAACTTCCACGATTTCGTAGGTCCCCACAACAAAGTAGGCACCAGTATTCGAATAATTTTCTCCATTTATGTATACCCACCCACTGGTCCTGAGAGATTCGAATATAAATTGTTGTTTCCACTAGCGTAATGCATCAATTTTTGATGCATGTGAATATATGAGTAAAGTGAACGTATGCAGCATAATGAGTAAGTATATATGATTCAACCTATTCTAGGAGGTATTAAAAATTAATGTCACCCGACATGAAAAAGCTATGCACACTAACCTGTATCAACACCAATATTTTCAACAGCCCCAAAATTTCTAAGCCTGTCTCGTCCTTCGCTTTTTTCAATTTCAGCAAGAGAAATCTGATGTTTCTGATATCTTTACAAAAAACCCGAAGGATATTGTGATCAGTTTTTAAGGATACCAGCAGATTTTTGCTGTAAGTACAAGCTTTAGCGAAAACAGTCTCGTCATCGATACTGGGCAACAACAAAGACATGAATTCGCAGATTTTCATAGCGGAGTCTTTTTCTTCTGGAATACCTGGATTGGAGAGTATTAGGCGACGCAATATCTTGCTATCGGTGTAAGAGACACATATCATCATAGCGATGGTAACTGAAAGAGCAGGATCCTGGAGTAAGTTAATCAACTGTATGGCCCTAAAAATCATAGAAACATTATTTTCCAATCTGAGTGAGAAGTGATGATGGTAATAAGATTTCTTAAGGTGTCCGTTTAATGCGAGACACTATCACTTGGAACAAAACTCTATTATATTATCATGAAAGCAATGAAAGGTAGTTCTAGAGAAAGTAATTCCTCACTTACTTTCCTCTAAATTTTCGACTTTTTAGTCTTTTTCACCGACAATTCAACTTCTAACTGTAAGATGTCAGTTTCGTTTAATCCCACTTATAAAGTTACCTAGGTGGATCGAGAAATTAATGTGAATTATAGCGCTCAACTCTACTTTTGCTTCTTGATCGTTCTAGCTGCCGCGTCGCTTCGAGAATAATTATTCTATCAGCTTCCTAAGACTTCCATTGGCATATATAGGCATTACCAATAGGCATATTGAGTTAGTCTAGTTGAAAGTGGGTTACGAAGTGAGCTAATAAGGCGATAGAAATCAGGAAACTAGTCTAAATTTCGGTTAAAGTTTTTGTATTGTATTGGTAGTGAAATAAAGTTGAGTTTACCTGTACAGTGTTGTCAATTATTGCCGAACCCATAGGGAAAACGCAACAATAATAATTTTGAAAACAGTTAACAAACATAGCTGTACTGAAGTATTTATGGAATCTGTGCCACTTTAAATTTGATTATTTTGAAGACTATTCACGCCAACCAAGTTGGCGTCTTTATGTCTAAAAAAATACACTTTCAGACACACATCAATAATTTTGCACAAATAAACATACCATTTGATAAAAGTATGGTTAAAAAAGAACTACCAATTGCTCATAGTATGTTCAAATGAAGCTCGTTTCACAGAATATATAGTAGACAATATACTACACAAAATAAATATTATTCTGCGTCTGCTTCCTTATCATTGCGAACTCAATCCCATTTAACTTGCTTGGGCTCAAGTGAAGGGTTTCGTTGCAAGAAAAAACACGGCATTCAAAATGAAATACGTCAAAATGTCCTCAAAGTTGTCCTCAAAAACTGTCGATTCTGAAAAATGGCGAAAATGTATTGAACATTTATATTACAGAAGAAAAGGACAACATGTGGAAATTATACCTGTTAGTTGAGGAAATAAATAGGCTTAGCTAAGTATCATCATGTAAATATTTTGAATTTAAATTTCATAACGATATTAATTTTACATAGTTGATAAAAGCTGTTAATTAAAACTTTACAAAATCCACAATTCCACCACTAACACAAGCGGAAGGTTTGTTTGCAACAACAGCCATGGAAGAAGCAAACCTACTAGCTGAACAATTTGCGTCCTACTCCACAGTCAATTTTCTGGCAAAGGCACCACCTACTATTCCTACACTAGAATCCACAATGCCAAAAATTACTTTTCGACAACGTCTTGTTAGGCGAATTTGAAACAGCTCAATATCAACAAGGGCCTGATGAAGAGCTCGTCATCGTACTCAAAAAGTGCGCAAGGGAACTCACACCAGTATCTTGCAGACTTTTCAAATTGTCCTACAAGAAAGAGGTTTTTCCATCTGGTTGGAAGATTGCTCGCGTTCAGCCTATTACCAAAAAGGGCAAGAAAAGTCTTCCAAATAACTATGGACCAGTCGCTTTGCTATCAGTGATATTAAAAATCATGGAAAAAGCCATAAACCACCATATGCCTAAATATTTGGAAGGTTTTAAAATCTTGAGCGATCATCAAAATGGCTTTCGGAAACAAATGTCAATAGTCCACCTTCTATCGTACGCTAATATTTGGAATAACGCAGTCGAGAAACATGGAGAGTCACGAGCTGTTGGCATGAGGATTTGCTGGCCAAACTTCGATACTATGGCTTTTTGTATCACTTTTATTTATGGCTCTTCAGCTTCCTGAAAGAACGTTCCTTCCCTGCAAGTGGCCGTCAATGGATATCTCTCGAATACTTTCACCATCAACACTGGTGTTCCCCAGAGATCCATATTGTCTCCAACCCTCTTTTTATTGTATATCAACGACTCATTCCGAAAAACAAAGAATCCAATATATTGTTTTACTGAAAACAGCACACTTGTCACGTCATTCCATTTGGATTCCATGACATCGGCTGCGGATGCATATCTTCATCGGCATCACGAGGTTGCATATCTCAATTCAGATCTACAAGTGATTTCGAATTGGAGTCAAACTAACCAGGTTCAATTCAATGTTACAAAAACCCAGACATACTTTTTTTCCAAAAAGATAAATGTTTTCGAACAGGATATAACAATGTCAGGACAGACAATTCCCCTTTCTGCTTCGATACGTTTGTTGGGGGTTAAAATGGACACCAATATGTCCTGGCATAGTCATGTCGCTGGAATTGCGAAAGCTGCTTCTCAAAACCTTGGAACACTGTTCCAAATCAGAAACTGTACACATCTCAGCAACTTTTGATGCTTCATAAAGCTCAGATCAGACCATTTTTAGAGTATTGTTCTCATGTATGGGGCTCTGCCCCCAAACATGCCCTGATGTTCTGGATTCCATCCAGAAAAGAGCCACCCGCCTGATTGGAGACGTGACTATCACCTGCAACCTTGACAGTCTGGAACATCGAATAAAGGTTGGGGATTTGTCTCTCTTCTAAAGATACTTTCAAGGGGAGTGTTCAAGTGGCACATTTGATTCCACCAAAAGCGGTATATATCAGAAATACGCGACGGACTGTGAGTGTTGTGAGTTTTGAGGTTCAACTCAGTACACATTGAATTTCACTGTTAAAGATCTCTTTCATTTGGAGAACTGCGTTTATGAACTTCCTTAGAACATTTTTCCAAAAATAGTTGAATCTCCAGCGATTCAAATCCAAAGTGAAAACACACCTCTTCATCAGTTCGATATCTTCTCCTTGTCGCAACCAATGACATAAAATGCGCTTTTTCAGAGCATTTTTCCCATACTGCAAAATCCAGCACAGTTGGGCTACATGGCAGGAAAATATGTTTTCCAGTTCCGAAAATCGTCCTGACAATATTATTAAGAGGCTGTTTCCAAGTAGAACGACGTTTTTATCAGGACACTCCACGGCAACTATAGGAAAAATGACGCAGATAGTTTTGAGCATGAATGAATCTAGCTGAAAGCGGTCGGTTGAGTAGATTAGGTTAGCGATGGACTGAAGGACTTCGGAAGGATGCCAGACTAACCTAGAAATTGAAAATTGATTACTGAAATTTGTTACGTGGATGAATGTTATTGTGCTTTCAACTCAGATTGGATAAACTACACATTGGATAAACTACACTTATGAACCAGCTATGCTACCCGTGCGAAGCCGAGGTAGATATTTATGTTGATAATTTGATTCTTTCCACTTGACACTACCACCTATGCCTGGCATGGGTATAGCATCATCATATTTCAAACAATTCATAACGTTTCGACTGCACTGCATCTTCAGTGGCGTGGTCGAAGTACTCTTCTTAACGTGTCAGTCATACAAAAAAAGCATCAATGAAATATACTAGTGAACTACATTATACTTGAATCACACCGTATGCAAATCCTTTTGGAGTTTATCGCTTTCAGGCGGATAAATGCGGTGGTGGGAACTTCGATTCATGTATAAATTCAAGTCTATTCTCAAACAATAAGAGATACAGAGTAGGTTAAATTGAATTGGCAAATTTGACTATTTGCAGGTAGTATTGAATGATACCAAAACATCAACTCTTGCTTTTTGATGTGAAACATCTATAGCCGTACGTAAAACCGATTCCTGCCATGGTGACGCATGCCGTGGCGACGGGTCGCCATAAATTCTTTTTTTTTAGTTGTTTCAGGGGTTTCAAATCAATTTATATTATACTATGGAAGTCCGAATGAGTGAAATTCATCAATGTATAAAGTACATCGCCGACCTTCAGAAATACATTTTTATATTTCTCCTAACAGCTAAAAAATCAGACAAATTACCTTAAAATGTACTATTCTACTCCTATTCCATACAAAAGTGTCTGTTATGTCATTGCTCTTACGGAACTCTCGATTATTTTTCTTTTGTTTTTTCAAATATTGCAGGATATTTTCTTAGAAGTCGTATTAACATTTCATTGAGATCGTAATGAGCTAAATATAAACTTACCCAGAGGTCTTGCAGAGAAATTCACAAACATGCAAAAATATTCTTACTTTCACCTTTGGCCACCCTGTAATATCTTTTGGCAACTCATTCAATGCATGTAGATTAGCCTTCCATTTCTGATCATTATATTTGGTCAGTACTATGGAAAAGAGCTTGATGGACTCTTTTCGAAGGACTTCATTTTTACACATAATAAGAATTTTATCTGAGTACTGCATCAGAGCATCCAAGCACTTATCTGATTCTTCCATAATAGAATTTTGCATCTTCTTTCCGAATTTATAGTTTATGTAGAAATAATTTATTGCTGTCACCAACTCTTTCAAAGTGATTATCTCAAGCTCCTGTAAAAATAAATTTCAAATGACAAATTGTTTCAACAAATTGGTCGGTCGGTAGCCGGGCGGTTCGACGTGGGTGCTTTGTTCACTCATTCAACCGGCCAATGTGTGAGTTGATGATTCAAGCCGCAGATTGAACTCTCGATTTCCACTTGCTATCGTCCAACCCGTGTCATGAATCACACGTTAAAAGGTAAGACCTCGTTAACAAGTTTCGACTTCAGAGGGTTATCGTTCGTAGCTGGTTACCGGAAAAAAACAATAGTAATGATAATACGAAGTGAATCCTACTGCTCAATTTGATTTTCATTCGATTATTTAACGATATATCGAGAAAAATTATCAAAAAGATGTATTAACAAACTAACGACTCGCTCCGGCTCCGCAAGGATGCAATGCTGATACTAAATATACTACAGAATGTCTTTAAAGTATTGTTATTTTCCTCGCTAGAGATCTCCGATAAACGCATGCGATAGCAACTAATCTTAAAGTAGGCTACCGCTATATCCCTTCATTTTAAATCTGTAATATCTTGGACATTATTTAATTGAATTAAATGCTGTAAAGAACCATATTGGTCTATATTAAATGCACAATGTATTTAAGGCGCTTAATTGGATAAGGATTAATTCTGTATTGCTTAAAATCACTTCGTGAATAAGCCATCATTTCTCAGTGAAGGATAAAAATGGTTATTGTGGGTTATTCCTAAGAGATAAACATATACCATCGCGGACTTGTAGACCTTTTAAAGATGTACAATTCTGCAGTAAATCTAATGATCTATCTTGTAGGGTTCAGTTAGTGTTTGCAAAGTAAACGCAAAAAATTGCCCCGTGGCAACGCTAGTTTAAAACGCCTAGTCAACTTGTATGTTACAACATTAGTTGTCAGTATTTTAGATTTAAAGTTTCTTAACTTCAAGTCTGACAAATGGTTAGATTAACGGAAATGCATACAAATGTTTGGTTACGGAGATAAAACCCGAACACAACAGAAAGTAGCTCGCCTATTTAATGAGAAATTTTCTAATTTACCGCCCATATCTCAAGGAATAATAAGCAAAATAGAGAAGCAGGAAACCCTCAAGTTCCAGTGAATACGATATGGTTTCAGCAGGATGGAGCACCACCACATCACCAAGTTAAGGTCCGGCAATATCACAATACAACATTTTCCAATCGGGGGATAGGGAGGCGGGGATCGATTGAATGGCCAGCGCGGTCACCTGATCTTTCATTATAATATTTTTTTTATGGGGATTTATAAAGAGCAATGTGTACAAAACTAAACCTTCAGATTTGAATGTCTTAAAAGAACGAATAACGCTTTCGATTAGATCGGTCACGCCTGATATGTTAAGTAATATTAAAAGACAGTTTTATTTGAGATTAGGATGTTGCCAAGACGCCTTCACGCATTCGAAGTGGGTTGAAGGAATATTTGNTCCTGGATGCCTCAGCACATTGACACCCGATGGAAATCTTGGAAAAGTGATGGAAATTATTATGGAGAATCGTCGAATCACTATCAGAGATGTTGATGCGGAGGTCGGCGTATCGGTTGGTTCATGACATGCAATGCAAAATTGCTGAATTTTAACCAAAAAAACCGTCGCATGAGCATAGCTCAGGAATTTCGAATATGTCAAGATTTCACTCACTGTTTTCTTAGATTACCGTGCCATAGTGTATCAGTAGTTCTTCCTACATGGTCGTACAGTCAATAAGGAGTATTGAAGGCATGCGCCGCTGGCGAGAAGCAATACAAAAAAAAACGTCCGGTATTGTGAAAGAACAGTTCATGACTTTTGCATCCCGATAATGCACCTGCTCACTAGTCATTGCTTGTTCGTAATTTTTTGGCCAAAATCATGCCTCAGCCACCGTATTCACCAGATTTGGCCACCTTCGACTTTTTCCGGTTCCAAAAATTCATATCAGAACGGCTTCGAGGATTGGACAAAACGCTGGCACGATCGTAATATATCTGAGGGGGACTACGGTGAAGTGGGAAAAATAGAAATCGATGAATGAGTAAATATTTTTTGAGAAAAATGAAAATCAACCTCATTGTTTGAACAGACAGCGTATTTTGATATTCGTGTTTTAATTCAGTTGTTGTTAAAATGAATGCATGAAACGATGACAGTGTCATTGTTTCAGAATTAGAATCTGTTGATTACATCATGGAAGCTAATTTTTTTCTCTATGGAGAGAAGAGTCTGTTATATGAATCTTCATTGACTCATAGAGGAGCGGAGGTAAAAAATATTTTTAACCTCGCTTTCTCGTCTCTTAATTTCTTTTTATTTTTCCCTTACGCCTACGTTTCATTTTCTGCTTTCTTATTATCCTTTTCCCTTTTCTAGCTGGCTCGAAAAAAATTATGCCTCCAGAGGATTTCAATACTGGTTCAATTTGTATCAAAATTCAAAACAGAAATAAATGAAATCATAAAGTCATTATTATTTTTTGTTTCTGTTTCAGAAGTCGGATATGCAAGACGTGTTTTTTTGAAGTTTCAACAGCTCGTTTGGATTGATTAACATAGTTTTTGCACATTGCGATGCACTGTTTGGAACCTTTGGTGTTGTAATGAATATTATTGAAGTTCAATCCCAGAGTTATTTTCAACACCTCGACACGTGTTTCAATCACCAAGAGATCATCTTCAAGAGGAAGATTGAACTCTTGAAGATGATCACTTGGTGATTGAAACACGTGACGAGGTGTTAAAAATAACGGTTTGGTGATGGTATTAAACTCCAGTAATATTCATAGTTTTTGCAATTTACACAGTTTACTTCATAAATTTCAGATTTTTTATTTTTCATCCTAATATATATTGAAGTTAAGCTTATCGCCCACTTGTCCGGCACAGCACAGCACGGCACGTCCCGTCAAAATACGGATAGGATTGGAACAATGAATATAAATGGACCAGCGCCCAGTAGCCCAGTCAAGACCGTCCGCCACCGGAAAGGATTCCAGCTCTTCGATCGGAAATACTGGAAAAATTTCTCCTCATCTTATAAGATCGTTGAAAAGATGATGAAACTGTCCCAGGTTTACCCTCTTTTGATAAATGCGATGGACCGACAACATTCCTTTTTGTGACTATTTCTTCATGTTCAGTTTTTTAGAAATGCAATTCCATTTGTTATAAAGGGTATCTTAGTTTACGTGGAAAAACAATTAACTTTCATTCACCGTCTTTTGCTACTATAAATGATTGATTAACATACTCTCTAAACTAACCTAACCTAATGTTTCATGGTTGAAGAGTGCCTTTCAAACATAATTGAAAAACTAATAATGTCTACTAGGTATCACAACACACTGTGAAAATCGGTAATGAAATAAATGAACTTTGCTCAAAATTGTAGACACAAGACTTTTTGATATTTTCAAAAGTTTGTAAGTAGTAATGCGTAACATGAGAACCGTGAACAGTTACAAAGTTGTCATTACGAACAGTCCATTTACTCTTTCATGCAACAATTTCCATGTATGGTTAGCCAAGTTAGAGTTGAAATGATTAGTATACTTCATTTGCCGATAACACCTACTGCATTTGTGGAACAGCGTCGAGAAGGGTGTTGCAGTTCTGGTATGTAGAAGAGATGTTTCTTTCAGATAGGCTATTTATTGTCAAAATATTGGCTTTTATATGTGGATCCCCACATATTGTAAAAAAGCCGCCAGAGTTCTAAGGAGTTCAACTACGTATATCAGGTCATTTCGTGGCAGTGTATGAAAACTGCATGATTTATTTCCATTGTTCTACATTTTCGGATAGCATGATATATTTTGAGTTAACCCAAACTTTCAACTTCAGAAAGCAATAAAAAATGTCTGGGATTTGTAATATAGCGTGAAAACAATAATAAATTGAATCTGGTTACTTTGATCCAAGCCAATATTCCCCAAAATATAAAACTATTTTTTCAAAGTGATGTATGTATTTGTCTTACCCGTTTTAGAAATATAGGACTATATCTCAGTAACCACGAAATACAAACATTGAAGGCTTCTGTAGAATCTGAAAACCTAAAAAATATCCTGAATTTAAAATTTAATTTCAAAATGTTCACTTCTTATCAGTCGAAAGACCTTGCAAATGAGAAAAGTTGATGTTGAGTTTTTAGCAACTGCCATTTTCGACGCTCAAAATAATCACACATATCTAAGTAGGCTAGACTTTCCACGTGCAATATTGTATCAAATATCCTTGCTAATACCGTGACAGATATTTGATATTCTTCATATTTGTTAACTTAGGTATTTTGTATTTTGCATATTAGTTTTCGTGATCTAATGAAATTATTGGGTATACTAATGTAAATAATCATAGTTAATTGCTATTTAGTATTAGTAGCAAACTCACCTGTTCAGGGTAATATTGGTTATAACAGCTATCTCATGAATCACGTCCAACCTTTGGAATATTTCTGTTATTTCAGCGATACATTTTGATGTTGTCATCGGTAATATTCCGCCCATCGATAAGAGATCGCACAAAATTGTCGTGCAGTCACTTACGTGCTGACGATTGAAAATCCTATGTTTTGTAGTGGTTGTCAGAATTTCCAAGATTTCCTCCCGGCGTTTTTTTATCAAATCTCGCAGCGATTGACTGTCAATTGTTCTGAAGGAATAATATGCCATATTCAGTATAACTTATAGTATTGTAGTTGATTGTAAAATCATTTCATTCTTTCAGAACTTCTGAAGAAATGGAAAAAATATAACCAATACTAATACTTCAAATTTTGAAATAAAATGTGCTTTACTTGACCATTTAAAACTGTTTGGTCATTACCTGAATTTCAGATATTCCTAAGATCACAAGAAATAAAAATTGCCGGTTCGATCTTCAGAAAAGTGATTTTTTGGGGGAGAAATTTTGACAAATTAAAAAATAATTGATAAAGAATCCCCTATAACCTGAAGATATAAAATTCATTGAAGATAGGAATGATATCACACAATAAGGAAACACTTCTGTCTTTGAAGATACTACCTACAACTATGAATTAATACTTTAAGTTTCAAAAGGAGGACTATTTTACAGATTTTTATGAGAAATGTATACATCATAAATTCAGTTTTGGATAAATCATATCCTTGATCTGAGATTAGACACATAAAGTTGATTCTCATCCTTCTGATGGTGCTCTTTGTTATCCTCTCTGATGTCTTGAAGTTTGTCTCCTTCTGTTACGGATAATGATCGTTGGTCCTTTTGTTTTGGAAGATGTTGAGAACTACCTGTGTCATCAGGCTGATTCCGATTTGTTCAGGTATTGATTTCAATGTATTTCCGGTTTTAATATTTAATAACACTCTGAACGATTTATTTGTTTTCTGGACTAGTATTTCCAGTGTTTGACCTAGATCTAGCACTAGGAAGGGCATCTGAGCTATGAACTGATTTCTGCTCTGTTTCATGCTGTCTGCTGTTGTACATTTGTGTTTCCTCTATATCTTGTTGGTTAGTCGTTTTCAACTTCTATAATGTATTTGACTTTATCTTCCATCTCCACTCACTCTTGACTCATGGACATTACCTTTACGAATACTCAAGAACAACTTTATCTGTAAATGTAGAGGATAAAGAGAAACGGTAAATGAGAAATATAATTCAGGTTGTTTCAAAAGTTTTGCCTGTTTTTATGAGTCTACTGTAAATTGGATACTCATTCAATTTAACCGAAAAATCAGTTGAATAAATGTGCTTTTGCCAACGTTACACAAGTCGATTAGTTCCGTCACCGTGGAAACAGGGTGATCGGGATTCTATGAAGTCGACGAAGGCCGTTTTTGCCAGGTCCTGATTGGCGAAAGTTCTACCGATGGTAGAGTTATTGAAAAGATGGTAGTTGGTTGGCGGGAGTTTTGGAGAGTATGGTGGGTTAGGCAGAACTTTGACACTCAATTCGTTTAATTTTGGAACGGTGATTTTTGAAACGTATGGACGGGCGTTGTCGTGGAGCAGGATTGTACCTTTTTTGTTGGCCATTGCCGGCTACTACTGACACAATTTTTGGTACATTTCGTCGATTTCCTCACAATAGGACTCTGCTGTGATGGTTTGGCCCAGTTGCAGTCGCTGACCACCATACAGTTACCATGATCTTTTTTTGGCCACATTCTGGAATTTGAAGGGTATCTAACGAAAAATTCTTTACGAAACTGGGGTTGTAAAAATTGTATAATAGAAAAGTTCACAGGTGTGAGATCGGATAATCTAGATGGCCCATTTATTTGGAGAATATTCTTGGAAATTGTTAGGAATGGGAAAGACAAAAACCTCAAACATCCAGTTTCAACTAGTGCCCTTAATATTTATCTCTTAGAGAATAAAATAAAGTTGAAGAGTGAATATGTATCACGTTAGCAATTAATAATAGTGAAACCGTCGTGTTAATTCTATAAAAAAACATATAGTACCATAAAATAACTTACCTGGAAATTATTATTTTCAACAATTCCATATATTTAGACAATAATTCACCATAATCCGCTTTGTCCGATGATGAAATAATGGAAAGTATGAAATCTATTATGTGTGATATTTGTTTCAAAGCCTTATAGAATAAATTTCTGCGACTAAGCTTCAATAGAAAACTTGCACAAGTTCTGAAAAATGTATTTTTATCAGTATTCCAATCTCGTTCATATGCGACTATAAAGCTGAGATTTTTGTTTTCTTCCCTATACTAGTTAATAAGTTATTATAATTGTAATTACAAAGTTGTATATGTACAGTGACAAGGAAATCGTATAGGAGTTTTTTAAAAGTGCGAAAGTAGCGATTCAGGTTGGATTTGAATCGCTGGAGATTAAATTCATTTAAAAAAAGGTTCTCAGGAAGTTTCACATAAACGCAGTTCTCCAAATGAAAGAGTTCTTAAACAGTGAAGTTCGAGGTGTACTGAGTTGAACCTCAAAACGATGAGCGTCCAGAGTACGTCGCGTATTTCTGATATGTACCGCTTTTGGTGGAATCAAATGTGCCAAGTCACTTGAACAACTCCCGTGAAAGTATCTATAAAAGAGAAACAAATCTCCAACCTTTCCGTGATGTTCCAGACTATCAAGGTTGCAAGTGATGGTCGTGTCTCCAATCAGGCGAATGGCTCTTTTCTGGATGGAATCCAGCAGCTTCAGAGTATGCTTAGGGGCCAGGGTTCCATACATGTGAACATTACTCCAATGAAGGTCTGATCTGAGCTTTATTAAGCATAAAAAGTTTCGGAGGTGAGTACAGTTTTCTGGTTCGGAACAGTGTTCCAAGCATTTGAGGAGCAGCCTTTGCAATTAAACCGACATGATTGTGCCAAGACATATTGGTATCCATTTCAACTTATCGATGCAGAAAGCAGAATTGTCTGTTCTGACATTATTATATCCTGTTCGGGGACATTTATCTGTTTGGAGAAAACCGATGCCTTGGTTTTCGTGGCATTGAATTGAACCTGGAAGTCAGTAGCAATTTTTTAAACGAGGACCTTTTGCAATCTTGATTTGAAAATGTTCAAATTTGGTGACTGTACAATTGTATTATTCTGCTTTTTGATCATGAAAAATGTAGGCGTTTATTCACTTCTAATCTGATTAGATAGTTATCTGTTGCATCTTATTATTGTAAATCATTCCCTAAAAAAAATAATGCCGGACACCGCTGGTCCTTGTCAATCGATTGTGACTTGCCCAAGGTCGCGCTCAACTCGATTTGCGTTTCTCGATCATTCTAGGTATCGCGTTGCTTTGAGAAGATTCATATCGGCTCTCAGAGACTTCCATTATGAAATATAAACACTATCAAATGGCAGATGTGGAAGTCTTGTTGAAAATGTGGTACGAAGTGATATAATAATGCGATAGACATTTGAGTAATAGTCGGAAGTTTCAGTGTTTGTGTCGTACTGTCAGTTTCAGTGTAGCAATGGAATGAAGTTGAATTAAATTGTACAGTGTAGTCAATTATTGTCAAACCCACAGGAGAAACGTAACATTTGATGTCGGACGTGGAATAATTGACTAAAAATTTTCAGTTTTATGGTAAAATCAAGGAATGTCGATTAGGAGGGATGGCGGAGAATGAATATTGATGGAGGGAGGAAGAATTAGTACTCCGAAATACAGACCATGAATTACTACTGAATATTCAGGAAAAACAGGAAAAAACAGACTTGCTGATAAATATTCAGGAAAAACAAGAAAGAGACCGATAAGATGATTGTAAATTATTGGTAAATATTTAGGAAAAACAACAAAGATACAATCAAATTACTTTCATTTATTTGAAGAACTAAAATCTTCTCAAGTGAGTAAAAGCGAGGTACAGAAATTTATTCAGGAAGAATTTGAAAAAGTATTCCAGGAATCAAAGGAGGAATTTCAAAAAGTAGACGATGATAAGCTTGAGGATGTTGAAAGGAAATTCGAAGAGAAGCTTGAAGGAGTAGACAAAAAATTTTAAAGGGTTTTCCGGCAACTTCGGGAATAATCAGCTGAGTTAAATAGGATCGTAGTGAAAAATCCAAATGGGAACATCTCTTCCTTCAGTAGTTTTATGAAAACTCCAAAACCTTTGATGGTGAATCTTCATGGTCAATTTATCGCAGACAATGTGAAGCCGCTGCGGAAAATAATGGCTGGAAAATGAAGAGAAAGCAATAGCTTCTATACTGTCACTACAGGGAAAGGCCTCCGAAATTCTGCAAAAGTAGAAGGATCATGAAGCAGTCATATCAGCTTTCGAGGTCACGTATAGTAGTGATCACCTCCAACAAGTCTACCAAGCTCAAGTGGAGGTGACAACTCAGGGTCCATCCGATAGTCTGCAGGAGTTTTGGCTGCAGGAGACTCGCCTATCCCGATAACCGATAACTTCACCCGCTGGATTGGTGTACATAGTTCCATCGACTGAGTTCGTGAAACGGAGCTGCAGCTGTCGCTGAGGATAGCAGGAACAGATTGATTCTCGGCAGGAACTCGTTAAGAAATATTTGATAAATGAAACTGCACAGAGGGCAGCCTAAATGCTATAACTGCGCAGAGGGGAACATTTAAGGCGGGATTGTCGATCAAGTTCAGGATCTGAGGAAAAAAATTGATATTCGGGATCACCCCACCGAGAGCATCGGCATTCAGAAAAAATAAATTCATTGAGTGTTAGAGGGGGTACATTGGCTGCTGCATCCCAAGTCACCAGGTATTCGATTTCCACGATAGGAGGCAACAGTAACAGCTGTCGACGGATTTCCGAATAACAACAAGTGTCTTTTCACCATCGATACTCGAGCAACGAGATCAGGAATGAAAACCAACATTTCCAATAGAAGCAGTTTGAAGAAGTTATCAGTAGTACCCGTTTTGGAAACAACCACTGGAGATAGACTGACTGTCTTGGGACTAGACATCATATCCCTCTACGGATTCGTGGTAAACATAAGTAAAACGCGTCTAGAAATGAAATTTTTAAAATTGTTCAATCATTATAATGGATAGTGTTGATTATTTCTATTGAGTAACGGGTTAGTCCATTCATAACTCTCTACGTTACAAATCCCAGAACTCTGATAACCAGATGTTGTTTTCACTACAAATATTCTTGGAATTCATTTTCCCACTGCTTTACATATTTTCGTAATTGCCTGACCTACCTGACAATAACGGTTAGGTTGATAATTTTCATATAAACAATATTCAAAATAAGATACCTACAGATCCAACCGTCATCAATTTACGAAGGGGAAACTCGTATATGCAGCCCGAGTAAAGAAATAATAATGAATTATAGTAATTAGGCCATATAAGGCTAAATCTTCAGGACAATAGCTATTCAAAGAGTTGTTGAAAATGTGGAAAACTTTCGAAGAAAAGAAGAAAATAATAAAGTTCAAAATAAACTCTAAACAAAAATGCGTGGATCATGCAGAAGTTGTTTTCAGGTAGAAACTGGAAGAAAAACCCCTATCGAAACAACATGAAAGTTCAATTCACATGAACATCAACACGATAGAAGAGTTCTTTCGAAACAACTAAGTACTTTCATATGAATCGAATTGTACAGAAGGTTCGTAACTACCTGATATTTCCACTTTACTCTCTCCTTTACCTACGTTGTTGAAGAAACACTGGTGATAGACCATTTCAGTTTAAGATGGTTGATTTCCATCAAAGGACTCTTTGATGGGATTCAGGGCCGTAGCGAAAAAAAAAACCGGGGGGGGAAGAATACAAATTTTTCCAACTCCACCAGCAAAATTATCCAACTTTCGAAGAAATGAAAGCCGAGGGATTAGTAACTACTATAATATATTTATTTTCTTACTTGGCTATCCAAAGATTGGCTGAATGCTTATGCCCGTTAGGGTATGCACAAACAAAAATAAATTTTGGTGATTATAAAAATAATAATGGGAATTATTCTACTTTGGACCAAGGTCCTTAGTCTTCCACCATGTCCACCATGTATAGGAATATTCAATACAAATGAAAGAAAACAACAACTTGTCCAAGTTGAAAAAACAGCGAAAAGTTGTGAATTTTGTAAAATTGTCACTTCAAAATTTGTGGACTGTTCGGGACTGTTTTCTTACTTGGGAGAAATTTAACTTTTTTGAAGATTTCAAACAACTCAGAATTCTCTTCAAGTTATGCATGTTGGGAAATTCCAACCTTCTCCTGGTTCTTTCCCTTTTCTCATTATCTCTCCTTTTCTTTTCTCTCATTTTTATTTTTTTTAATTTTTATTCATTTTTTTACTATTTTTTTTTTCTATCTTCACGGCCCAAAATTTACTAACTTTTTCCAAGTCGAAAAAGCAGGTAGGGAGGCTCCTCCCATGGCGACGTCCCAGGTAGGATTGTTCAATGGGCATTCAGACCTCGATATTGTATACCGTCGAAGTCGTGACTGAAGACTGCTGGTATCTGAAGATGTTACAGCAGATAAAGAATAACGTCAGGGACTCGATTCTTGACATTACTCCCATAGGACCTGTGCCTTTTTTTTCATGGAAAAATTATTTGGTATTCTCCACAGAGGTATGGGAACGTTTACCTTTGGAATCCATGGGTGAAATATATAGTTGGTTATATCCATGTGATTTGAAGTATTTCTGAGGATTTTACCGCAAAACTCATATTACTGTTGTTATCAGTGGCACAAAATATAGTATCGCTTTTTGTATTTGTCTTTGGTTTTGTAAAAAAATCGTTAAGAATTTGAATTCCCTTATTAGGTACATCATAATCAAAACAGGTAGGTATAGCATCCATGTACTTTTACAAAGTAGTAATCACACGCCCAAAAAAGCCATTGTATGGCAAAACGCTTGTTGTGTTTTTGTATAACTGTTTGGATGAAAGTAAATGTAACATAAATGTACCTAATGTAATGTTAATTTAATTCATGCTACATTAAAATATTTCAACTTTTCAGTGATAATGGTGACGCAAGTAACAAAAGTTACAATTAGGAAGAGACAATTATCAATTACAAATTGAACTCCTCACTTTCCAATGGACACGTTTATGCAGAAAAATTAACAATTATTGATTAACAAGTAGAAGTTAACCAAATGTATTCTTCAATTGTACCAAATTTTTGCTAGTGCGCAAATAATCACTGAACCACAAGTATAACGCTAAAAGACCAGCATTATACTTGTGGTTGAACATAGAACACAGACAGTAGAAATGTGGGATATGGGATGGAATAACTAGGATAACCTAACCTAATTATTTTCAAATTTCAAAACATTGTAGGCGGTGTTCTGTTTAGTTTCATCGTTTCTTAAATAATTTGTTTATATAGGTATGTGCTGAAATGGAAATTGATTCTGTGTTAATTAATAATAGATATGCAATAGTCGATATTTGATAACATCTAAATGCTCAAGCACTTGTGTACAATATTATTATGACTTTTTAAAGGGATCGTTTTTGTTACCTAGGATTATCAAGACGAAAGAGCTCCTAATTTTTCAGATGGCTGTATATTATTTATATACAGTCGGTGAAAATAAATATGACTAAAATGTATGGCGTGGTTCTACTTACTTTAATAATTCTATGTCCATGATATTCAAATTAACCATGTCTTCAAATGGATACAGAATCATGAATTCTTTAAACTGTTTCTCATCTATATTGTCAATTCTTCCTTCGAGGAATTGTAATTTTTTTTCCATACACATATTCGTCATCTTTATTCACACATTAACTTCATCAACTTAATTTTGTGAATAAAAACAAATGAAATTAAGCTTGTCTACTATTATTTCAAATGTAATGTCATGGGTATCTGCCTTAAAAACAAAGGGATGTTTAATAGTCTTATGTGATATGGGTGAAGTATTACTAATTAGGAGACCTTAATGTCAAACATGAATTTTTCAAAACTTGAGAAGTTAGAAAAAACCTTTTCAACATACTAAAGAACTGCTAAAGAAAGGAAGGTACAAAACAGAATGGCTTTGGGGTTAATGAGTAGAAAAGTATTTAGTTATCCTTTCAAATTTCTCACATACATTCCTATATAGCTTTTAATTGCAAACTCATCAATATTTTCTAAAAGGAGGTGTGGTATATGAGTACTCTTATTCGTTAACATTATGACAACATTCTTGAAATGAAAGAAAAAGTAAGAGTTTAGTGTGTCCGATTTGTTAGTTAAAGTGCCATGAATTTTTTAAGTGCGACAACTCTTATGGATGATTCAATTAATATAATTGTCCTAATTCTAAAATAAATGAGTTTAAGTTTTATTAAACAGGAAACGAGACTGATGGAATGGGTGTCATGGGGAGATGGTAGAATAAGCCCAAGAGGCTGCAGTGTTTTCTGGAGACTTGGACTAAATGGACAAGTCAGACAGCTCCCAAGGGACCAAAAAAAAAGTTTTATTAAAAATAATAATTTGTGCTAGACGCTAGACAAATTTTATTCCTACTTAAGGTTTGTTAAAGACCTACAAACATTTTTCATGGTTTTCAACTTCTAGATTTTGGATATGAAGAAGAACTTTCCAAAGAACAAACTTGAAAAAAAAAACACATTTGAAACAACTACTCCCAAAATGCACAATGAATTACACGAAAATCACTTTTTCCTACTCAGTTTGTACTCCAAATATTCGTTAGTAACAATATAAAATTTCACTTGAACAGAACACTATCATAATCAGTGATGTACTTGGAAATTTCTGAGCAAAACACCTCTCTAATCACCTCATTTGCAGTATTTAGGATAACATTACAAGGGAAAGCACTAATTTTTTTCAAAGCATAACAGAAAGAAGCAACAAATCTCATGTTACGTTGACAGTATGCAAACGGTGATTTGGTTTAATCCCAGCCATAGGAACCTTTTCGGCCTTCGACTCCTCCATCATTAGACAAAAAATGCAAAAAATTTCCAGAGAAAGAGCTTCACTTCAAAATAAACTCTTTACAAAGATGTGTAAAGTTACTTTTGGATACAAACTTCATACTTCGACCACGCCACAAAACACTATCAAAACAACTAAGTACTTTTATGTGAACATTGAATTATACAAAAATTACTTTTTTCTATTCAGTTTGTACTTCTAACATTAGTTATTGAATTGAATCAGATAAAATTTATAGCTACACTACACAACACAATTCAATCTTCATATGTTCGAAAGTAGTTTTGAATGACCTTTCCTAGTTTTTATTCCGAGAGAAACGTGTGTGTTTGAAGAGTTTATTGAACTGAAGCTATGGTGTCATCGCCTGTTATTTCCAACTTCTCACTTTTATTCCTCTATTCAAGTCTGTAATTTGAAAAATTAATATTATTTACCCTTATAATAGAAATTAGTCACAGTGTGATTAGTTTTTATTCCGAGAGAAACGTGTGTGTTTGAAGAGTTTATTGAACTGAAGCTATGGTGTCATCGCCTGTTATTTCTAACTTCTCACTTTTATTCCTCTATTCAAGTCTGTAATTTGAAAACTTAATATTATTTACCCTTATAATAGAAATTAGTCACAGTGTGATTAGTTATAATTGATATTTATAACTTAACTCAAAGTTTCTGAGTGACTGATGCGTTTTTTCTTTTTGAATATTTCTCTTATTCATATCAATTTACTTTCATATCTTTTTTATTTTGATTAAACATACATATACATTCACATTACCTTTATTAGAGGTTGTAGTGCACATGTGTGACAAAGGTATTTTGAAAAAAACCTGCGCACAGGCTGTGCCTTTACATTTGTACATTAATTATTAACATCACTTTCTAATTTTGTGAAAAAATGAAATATAATGTGTACCTATTGTATTGTTCAGATGTAAAAATGTATATTTATAACTTGGTCTTTTCTTTTTGATAAATTAACATTATCAAGTTAATTATTCTCTTCTTTTTTTTTTTGAGGTTTCTGACATTTTTGTATAAAGATGAAAAAACCGAAAGCCACAAAGCTTTTTTCCCAACAGATAACACTGTTTCAGCCACCAGCACAATACACTTCATCTCTCCAGTGATGCGAACTTTGAATAATGAAACTTGCATTGAAAATAAGTTTGTTGCTGTTCAATTTATTTATTTATACATTGTATAACACGGCACTTGTAAGTAAAGTCGAATGTAAGGCAATGAGCATAATTCTAGATAACAGATCTCGTTTTGAAAACGTATAGACTTGATTTCTCAGAAGGCTCTAAAAATGCTTGGTTTCATTTTGAAATCATCCAAGTTTTCTGTTTACACCTCTGAAATTTAATATCCCTAACTGGATTCATTGTATAAATTGGTACTTACTGTAATTTCGAGTTCATATTACATCAAACACATTCATCTTATTGAACATGTTCAACATACATTTTTTAAATAGCTTTTAAAAATGAGGTTTAGTAATAGGTGAATATGATCATGATGTTGTTGCCCGACGATCGTCGGCAACTGCATCATTGACTTGTCCTTAGCTCGCACAAGTTTCTCAACTTCTGAGAGTTCTCGTTCTAATGGGGGGCGACAGCTCCCCATGATTCCTGTATTTTCCGTGAGGGAAAAACAGATTTTAAACAATTTCATTCAACAAACCTAGTTTATAGGTTTGTTCTGGTTCTAACATCCCAAAACGTTTGGAAACTGCGCAAGACATGGTGTGTACAAACAAAAAATCTCAAACAGTCCGAAATAGTTTCGGACACTTGTTTAAACCAGAACGCTTTTGAGGAGAGCACTGTGCCACCTATCGTATATGAAGAGATGAAGACAAGATAATACTATTAAATTATGTCCATTTTGTTATGTAGCGTATCCCTATAGTCAGCTCAAATGTTATTTACCCTCAATCATCAAATATTCAAATCAAATAAATAAAAAAACATTCTAGCAAATAGCCCAAACAAATTTCCACATGAATGCGCATGAGCAACGGGAACAGTTCTCAACAGTTCAGCCTCGAGAGCAAGAACGATTCGGGACGGTTCAAAACAGTTTAGGATCATTTCGCAGTCAAAACCAGAACAGAGGATTCATCAGTCTGAAATTATCCTCAATAAACCAGAACGCTCTATATCAACTGCGCATGATCCTGACTTTGAATTTCGCAGAACCTGAACCTGAATTTCGCAGAACCAGAACAAACCTATTATTCACCAATATCATGTATGTTAAGAATATACAATATGTACTCTGATAAAATTGATTTATTTTCCAACAATCTGAACTCTTAAAACTCAACTGTGTATAAGTCTTATAAAAATAAACCAAATTGTGGCATTAGTTTTAATTGTTTGTTTAGTTTTAATTGTTTGTAAGTTTTAATTATTTGTAAACTAAAATGAAGTTTTCTCATTTGAAAGTAAATGTATAAATACTACTTGTACTACATTACTATCATAGTATAGCTCAGTAGAATTGCAAGGCACGTCAAGAATCGGATTGCAGTTCTTAAATAACAGAATCTTGAACCAAATTATCCTTTGCTTCGAATTCGAATGTGATTGAGAACACAACATGCAACAAATTTTTTGGGTTATCAATTGATAATAAGTTGAAGTTTGAGGACCACATACTATTGCTTAACAGAAAAACTTTCATCTGATGTTATGCTGTGAAAATAACTTCTAACAATAGCTTCCTCAAGTATAAGAGTTTATGCTTGAGAAAGCTATTGTATAGAATAGAATAGAACTTTATTGCACCCATAAAATATACAAATATTTTGGACGTCACCTATTACATTGTGGATTCATTGTATAAATTGGTACTTACTGTAATTTCGAGTTCATATTACATCAAACACATTCATCTTATTGAACATGTTCAACATACATTTTTTTAAATATGGAAAAGATGCACTAGGTATCTCCAAGCGAATCCTTAAGAGTAACATTGAACTCACTCAGAGTATACAGGCTCATTTTGGTAAGAAGTTTTTTCACTGTATTTCTGAGTGGCAGATGTTTGATTTTTTCAGGAAGTAAATTGAAGCAAGTGATGTCAATTGATTTGCTTTTATCCAATCTTCTTAAGAGGGGCACAATATTATTTCCATTGCGTGTTTTGTAGGAGTGAATATCCGAGTGTGTTGTGAGTGTGTGATAATTTTCTTTGACATGCAGAACATTGTCAAAGATAATTTGTGAGAATAGAGTCATGATTCCAGTATTCTCAAACAAAGGCTTACAGTGTTCATTATATTCAGCTTTAACAATGCTACGTACAGCAGCTTTTTGCAAGACAAATGCTCTTTGAAGATGGGTGTAGCTTGCATTACCCCGGCACAGCAACCCATAACTCATTGCTGAGTGGAACAAGGCGTAGTATGTCATTAGAGGTGCTTTCTGACCAGTAGTTGTAGCTATTCGCCTAATGGCATAAACAGATTTTGCTAGTTTGTTGCAAAGATTACTGATGTGGGTGGTCCAGGCAAGAGACGAGTCAAGATGAACTCCCAAAAATTTTATACTTTCTGATGTAGAAATGGCATCAGTGCGATGGTTTGAAAATACACAAATTTCTGTTTTTGTTTCATTCATATACAGTTCATTAGAGTCAAACCACTGTTAAGCAGAAGCACAAATATTTGCCGATATGTTATCAACATCACGGGTTCTATCTATATGTACAGAAAATGACGTGTCGTCAGCGTATAATATTGTCAGTAATTCTAGTTTGAGTTGCATATATGAAGGTAAGTCATCAGCATAAATTAGGAACAGAAAAGGCCCCAGTATGGATCCTTGTGGGACTCCCCTTTTGATAATACGTTCTTGACTTATATTGTTATTGTAAACTCTTTGTGTTCTGTTAGTTAAATATGATTCAATTATTTTATTGGGAATTCCTCTTATGCCATACCATTCTAATTTCTCCAACAGTTTATCAGATGTGTGAAGATAGTTAAACAGGATTGTTTATTTTCAAAAGATTCAATAATGTTATTAGCTAATTTGTTTATAGCGTCTATGGCACTTTTACCTTTCCTAAACCCAAACTGATAATTATGTAAGAAATTATGTATTGCTTTCCATGTAGTTACTAAACTTTATTAAAATAGCTTTTTCCATTACTTTGGATAGGGTTGGCAATATGTGAATTTGTCTGTAATTCTCAGGTAATTTTTCATCTCTCTTCTTGAATATAGCTAGAACTTTGGCTGGTTTGAATACTGATGGAAAAAAAACATCAGAAAGACATTTATTTATTATGATGGTAAGTGGTTCAACGATTAACGATGCGCATTGTTTGAGCAAATAAGTGCTGATACCATATACATCTTGCGTCTTTTTTGTTTTCAGACTCTTAATAATGATGATAATTTCCTCTTCAATGAAGGGGCGTAGGTAAAAGGATTTAAATGATGTACAGGAGTTGAGAGTAATTGAAACATTTTTGGGTGTCGCAATACTCTCTCCGCATTGTCAGTGAAGAATTCATTAAAAAGATCCACATCACAACAGATGATGCATCAAACACATCATTGCCTCTTTCAGAGTTTATAATTTTCCAGATTGTCTTATTTTTATTGCTGGAGAGGAATATTTGATTCGAGAAATAATTTTGTTTTGCTTCAAGTAGCAATCCATTGTATTTTTTTTTTACTCAGCTCGTATTGCAATTTATTGAAATAGCTAGATTTTTTACTCATGACTAATTGAACATTAAGTTTTCTAAATTATTTCTCCAATAATCGACATTGTGGGTTTTTTTCAGTGATCTTGATTCAATTATAGAAAAAGATTTTTCAAAATGTGTTGTGAATATTTCATGAAATTTTAGGGCCATTTCCTCAGATGTCGATTTACTATACACTTCAGACCATGATTCTCCATTTAGATGAGTTTTGAATACTCTTAGATTTTTGTTGGAAAAGTTTAGCTCATATTTCTTATTAGTATTTTTGTCACACCTGATTTTGTATGTGAAGATTAGTGGAACACTAAGAACTTCCGCATTTGAACTCTCTGTATTTGAGAATATGTTATCAGGGCATGTTTTAGACTTTCCCATCACCCTGGTGACTGAATGAATTTTTTGCTCATGTTAAACTGCTGAAACAAGTCAACGACTGAGTTCGTTTTCTTCTCCGAATTTAGGAAATTTACATTGAAGTCGCCACATATAACAACGTTAGCTCTGCTATAATGCCTTTCTATATAGATGAGGGCTTCTGACATTATGTTTAAAAACTTAGTAAAATCAGAGTTACTACAGGGTGATCGGTATACAGATAATACAAGTAAATTGAATTTCTTTGAGAATAATGCAGCAAGTTCACAGTGTGATATCCTTGAGATAGCTGTTTAATTTCGATGATTTCTTTGCCACCAAGAAAATTATTTTTGTAGATACAAGTACCTCCATGTATATGATTATGTCGTCAATAAATAGAAATTAATTTAAAATTTTTAAGAGTATAACGGAAGGACTCACTTGTAGATAGCCAGTGTTCAGTTAGGCACAGTACACTTAGGTTATTGAGACAATTAACAAAATTATCTAGTTGCAAAATCTTATTCCGAAGGCACTGAATATTTAGATGTAGAATTTTTAGTTCTTCAACAGGACCTAGTTTTTCATGAGTAACATTTGAGCCTGGGACGCCATTATAGTTGCTGTTCGTTGTTTCCGATAAGCTTATATTATTTAGATTCGATTCTGTTTGTTTTGGTGCTTTAGTTCTAAAAAAAATCTTGGTTGTCCTTCATATTGGAGCAATCTCTTCTGAAGTCGTATCTTCTGTAACCGACTCCCCGTGGCCATAAGGAAGGTTTGTAGAAATCCTCCTTGAACTTGAAATCAGCAGCAACCATGAAATATTTCAAGTTGTTATCAGTTCTGATGTACTTTACTATGATACTTTCTTTGAGACATGCTTTTTTTTCAGCTAGAAAAATTCTGATGTCATCTTCCTCAACATCTTCAGTTACCCGATAGATGTACAACCAAACTTGGTTTGCAGTTTCTACCATGGGAAGATTCTGATGGACCTGCTTCTGGGTCAATTTGCAATTTGATAACTTCATCAAATTTCAGTTGACTCTGAACTTTCAAGATTTCATTTGCCACTTCCTTCAGTTTGAGAGGTGGGTCAATCTGTATAACAAGTTAATTTGTAGGTTTTAAATCAGCGATGTTTTTATCTGTTGGCTTACCCACTGTTTTAGTTGGTATGTTTTTGGACGTATCATTTTCCTTGACATTTTTTGTAACATTTACTTTATCAATGAGCTCCATACTTTTTATTGTACCCCCAGATTTTGTACTTCTGTGTGTTTCAGTTTATCTTCTAGAAATGCAATTTTCTCATTTAGTAGTCGAATGAGTTTATCTTTTTCATTAATTATGTTGTTTTTGTCCTAGATAATTTGCTTCAGAAGGTTATTTTCTTCAGTCAGGTAGGCTTCTTCTGTCATGTAGATGTCCAACATGAATTTTTCTTTGTCTCTCCACAACAAGTTATCGTTCTGTTAGCACATGCATTATGGTAAACTGTGTCACATCCAACGCACGTTAAGCCAGTATTTGCATTTTTTTTACAGTATTTGCATAGTTTCTTTACTTTATCTAATCCACTACCGACAGCAGCCATTTTTAAAATATAGCGAAACACATGTCGCGGTTTTTGTAAAACCCTTTATAGTGAAAATCATACAATAAACTGTATTAATTAGTTTTAATATTCTTTGAAAAAGATAATTTTTGTGAAGTCAATGTTCCGTGTGTTTTGAGTTTTTTTATTAAGGTAAGAAGTTGTGGAAGGAAATTTGAACCTGAACTAAATTCTCGGACCGCAACCTGTATGTATATCATGTAGATTTTTTATCAAATATGACATCTGAACATTTCATTCCCTTCATCTATTTTGCTCTTTCTATTGTTAGTATATTGAATTGAATTGAAAGGAGTATATTTTTAGGAGACACATTTTTCGAAAAGAAAGGTTTTGCTTTCTACTTTTCCATCTTATACATAAACATGTGGGAATCTTCCATAGAAAGAAAGCAATTCATTTCAAAATAAACCTTTTTATAAAGATGTGTAGATTATTCAAAGAAGTAACTTTCAGACACAAACTAGAAGAGAAGCCCTCTTGAAACAACTACTTTTATATGAACATTGAACCATATAAAAACACTTTTTCTTATTTGGTTTGAATTCAAAACATGCGTTATAATCGAATCAGATATCATTCACAGGATTGCTACACAATATAGCGATAAGAAAAATTTCAGTTACATGGAACACTGTCATCTTCAATGACAGACATTTATGTTTCGGAATATTTCAAAAAGGTATACGAGTTGGAATTTGTCAGTGTAGCGAGAGAAAGCATATAGCAAATAATACATTTTTACCAAATTATAATCCCAATGAACCTTTCACATTCACCACATATTTAGATGCAACAAATCTATACGGGCATAGTATGTCACAACCTTTACCAACAAGTGAATTTACATGGTTGACACCTAATGAAATTCTTAATCTTGATGTGATGAATGTGGGGGGTGATAGTCCGTATGGGTACGTGTTTGAAGTGGACATTCATTATCCACAATAGTTGCATGATAAACATTCTGATCTTCCATTTTTAGTTGAAAAATTAATACCACCTCGTACACACCTCGTATACTTTCAAGTCTAACTCATTAATAATTTTTTTTTTATATATATTTCTTGAGAACTCTGGAAGTAGATTGTTTCCTATAAAACCTTTTGGGTGTTGAACATATCTGTAGAGATAGTTGTTTAATTTGGATACTGTGCCCCAAAGGAAAGCAAACCCGTGTGTTTCTGTACCGCAGAAAACATTTAGGAACAAGGTGACCACCTGGTAGGAAGAGAGAAAAAGTAAGATATAAAACTATGAGTCAACTTCAAGTTGAATAGTTTTTCGACTATGCAATGTAATCGGAATCGTATAGCGATCTACCCATGATCGATTTCTTCGGAGAGTACTGGAAAACCCTTCATGAATTTATATTGACCGGTCAGCTGACTTATTTTCGCACCCTGAAAAAAGCTGCCAGGCCGATTCTTTTGGGAGATCTTTTAGATGTCCCCTTAAATTGAAGTGCTGAAACAAGTTCACTACCATAACTTACAGCAAATTACAACTTTAGTTGAGGGCTGAAGATACATTACATTATTTTGAAAAGTAAATTGAAGGGAGAGCATCAAAACACTAATATGCAGTATTTGTTATCACCTTCTTTTATTTATTTATATTTCTCACATACACAATCACCAATCACATCATAAAGGTTGGAGAAAATGTTAATCGAATCAAAAAACATTAAACGAAAAAACAAAATTACAAAGGTATACTTTATATTTGTGCTTAATTTCCTTTTACACTTTGTTCTTAAACATTAAATATGTCCCAGTCATGGGTTCTAATTGCTCGAAATGAATTACGAATCTAAGAACACAACCGAAAGAAAGAAAAAATCAGTAGATGGGATGATTTGTACGTGTATGAGATATATACAGCGACTAGAGAAAATTGGCTTCAATAAGTGGGATGTATTTTCAAAATAATAAGTCAAATAATATGATACAAAAACGGAATAAAAAAACGTTACTGCAAAAAATATTAACTAATAAATGACAGATCAGCTTCCAATTGAAAATGAGAAAAATTGTCATAGTAGTGCAATATGAAAACTACTTTGGGAATAAATAATTCTGAGAGAAAGAAGAGAGTTACATGTCATTTGTAAAATTGCTTGTCTCCAAGCTAAAAACACTACTAAAGCAAATATTGTCTCTAATTCATATTGGTTGTATACTTCAGAAAACTAATCAAAATTATAACAAAAATTGAATTAAAAAATATACATGTGTAAAGCTGAAATAACAAAAAAGAAAAAGTGAAAACACATCCACCTCAAACTTTACAAAAAAATATTCGAACAAATTACCGAATAACTGTACATATCTAGAGAGCTAAATATAGAGAGTCGATATGTAATGCAGACCTAGATGTCCACCTAAAAATTAGGAGTATCAAAATATAGAGCAAAATTGAAACAAACTAGTAAAAACATAAGGGAACTGTTCGTTTCCATTCCACTTGAGTTTGTATTACAGGAGTACAACTCTGGTAATTTTCCTTCACTTCTAAATATTTTGACATAAAATAAGTCTTTTATTATGGAGGCGCTGAAACCACAAAATATTTTTCTTATAATAAACAGTTCAAACTGCCAATTATCTATATTCAACAGTTCAAACTTTCAATTATCTATATGCAATAGTTTATGGCTAATTGAGTTTAAACTGCTGATGAAGGCTAATCAACAAATCTAATTGTAGATTAGATAGATAGATATTTATTCGTACTTCTAATCATTAAGATTTTGCACACGTCAATAATGTGGTTACATACTAAAAAATAGTACGTTCTTCAGTGGAAGTTGTTACAACAGATAATATATAAATGTCCCAACTTTTCACTTGTTTGTTGTTTTAAGTATCATAATTGAAACTACCAAAGAAGTACTCATCTTACAGAAGTGTCAACCAACCTTTTAATTCTACATGAATTCTACATTTTACCAGCCAAAATATTTTATGTACTTAATAATGACTAAAACTAATTTCAAATTATTAAAATACAATATCATTATAGATCCAATTCAACAAATATTCAAAAAACTATTCACAAAATATGGTACAAAACGAAATATATACAGAACACATATTTCCTAAGTAACCGCATGAAAACAAAATGTCAACTTATGGTCACTAATACACAAACAGTTTCAATTACAGATGATGCAGACACGTAAATATCTGAATCAAAAGCAAATTTAATTTCTAAGAGAAACAGTGGATTTTATGAAACAAAATTCCTCTATCTATCTTCTGTGTCTCCAAGTTCGGATCTTCAAAAATTCTTTCCAACGCATATTGATTTATAGGTATCGAGAAATATGCTCTTAAGGATTCTTTGTTCCTCCACCATAATATTTTTCCACAGTTGTAGTAATTCTTATTAAGATGTCTTTTAATAACAGTTTGTTATTTTTGTCTGGTTATGTAAATACTTAAAAACTAATGTGATGTGGACCAAAGTAATCAAATTTTATATTGATTCTAGTCATGAACTGATATTTGTGTCAATATAAAAAAATCACAACATAAATTTAATCCTGTGTACAAATCATAATTATTGTAAAAAATAGATAATATCGCTTACTAATAATAATAATGACTATTCGATTTGTGTACAAGACGTTTTCTTATCCTGGCAGCTGAAAAGTCAATTATAAACAGGATTTACTTCCAGGTTTCTTAAGGTAGATCTTGTGATGTGAATGATTATATTACACTACTTCCAAAGAGATTTGTCAAGAATTATAAGTTACCTTTCCCATAATCATTGCTTTCATTTATAATCAACAGTTTGGTCAACACAATACCACTTTATCAAGCAGTAGTAGAATGAGGCGCTTTCCGTGTACAATACAATTGTTGAATGAAGGAATTAATATAATAAAAGTCAAATAAACACATAGAAGATGTCTTTCAGAAAAAGCATGTATTGTTCGTTGAATTTGTGTGAGTTGAATAACAAATTGCAAAGGTTTTAATTAAAAATTTTTCAACATATTTCTGAAACCTAAAATTATTGGAACAAATTGAATCTGATCTTGCCGAAATAATACAGATCAAGAACGAGTGTTTTTTGAAATGATGAAACTCATATTCAATTCTAACAACTAAATTTCCAAGACATATTGTTTATATTTGAGCAAGTATCAACATTTTCAATTCATTGAAATGAGGTATGTGCCTTATCCAAAGATATATGTGATTTGTGAAATATGCTGTCACTTGAGAAGAAATGTTGAAGGTTTGAAAGCATTCAATGAATTAAAAATGTGAAGTACATATACATGACTATTACGGAAATCTAGCTATTCGAATAAGCATTGAATGAATGAACTTTAGACAGAATAAAAAATAATTGAAACCATTTAAATTTGTCTGTCAAAATTCAACCGAACTAATGACTAAATCATTCACTCAGGTCTCACTGGTATGAATTCAAGGGAATGGAAACGTTGACTTAATCTAATGCTTAACTATAGGTTAGAGAGCTGGGTTAGCTTTTTTGGGCTATCACAAGGGCTTTACGTTAGTGAGTTTTCAGCTCTTTGGCTCTTATTTTCCTTACTTAAATCAATAATGTTTTTTGTGCTGCATTGTGCTACGCGTACACAAGACGAATAACAATAGTTTTTGTTTTCATTTGAGTATTCAGCTTGATAGGCCTTACGGAGCTGCTGATATGTTCAGTAGGGCGTAAAACGGTTGTAACCACCACGATAAACAGCGGCCTGAAAATAAATTATTAGATTTAGTTTTTGTTAAGATTTACTTAAACTGAAACAAATTCTTTCAGAGTATCATACCTCAAACAAAGCTGGAACGAATGACAAGCAACATATATAATAATAATCTTTATTCAAAATAGACATCCTAATATACAAATGGTAATATGATTGTGAATATTAAATAAAATTTTAGACGAAATATATAATATTATTAGATGTTAGATATAGTATTAGATATAACATGCGAAAATAAGAAAATGTACTAGTGGGAAAATGGACAATGAAAAGAAAACAATAGATGCAGATCTTAATCTAATAATTCTGTGATCGTATATATTCCATAAGGGAGTGTTTAAATTGTTGGAGTGAATTGCTTTTTTTAATGTTGATAGGAAGTTTATTATAATTCAATAATCCCTTATGAAATAACGAGTTCATTGTTCTTGAGAGACTAGTTCTTGAAACCCACAGGTCACTGCTACCTCTTGTAGGATAGTTATGAATTTGATGGTTGAAACTGATAAATTCATTGAAGTAAGGTGCTATTTGACCAGTAAGTATTTTAAAGATGAAAATCATTGAAAAATAGTATAATCTGTCTTTTATTGTCAACCAGTTCAACGCCCCCTCTGCATGTAGACGAGGAACTCACCAAACGGATATCCGAATGGCCCTACCAGTTACCTAGAGTAACTGGGCATACTTGAAGACTGGCTATAAATCAAATCATCTAAAGGAACAATTCGTTCAGGCCAGTATTCCCTTACCTATACAGTAAGTTCATGGACTAACTCTGCGACTCTATACAAGACGCCTTGTCTGGGAGAACACGTGCACTATGCATGATAATGTTTTGGAGCACTCTGTTGCTTGGTTGGACAGAGTATAGTTACCAACTGCACCCACCAGCCCGGAATGTGCAGTTCTAGACTCGTACCTATGAACCATCTTTTTTAAAATCGTCTATGACAGCCTTCTTTCAGATGAATTTCACCAATCTAATGAAAAGCTGTTGCATGACATCACTGATTTGTCCACAATGAATCCAATAGTATCAGGAGTTGACAAGTGACAGGATGGTATTATTGTCACAACAAAACATTTTCATATATGTTTATTTACAGTTGATGTTAACAAATTCCCCTTATTTTGAGCTATATACCCCTACTCTCAAAGATAACACTGCCGAACAACTTATAAAAGTTCCAAATTCAATTAGCCCCCTCTACTAGTAGACCATTGACGGGAATTTATCGGATGCCATAAGGAACAGTTCAATGAAATCTGTTGGTTGTTGAAAGTCAGTGAACAAAGGAACACATGTTTATTGGCATACTGTAGAGAGTTCAGTTGATTAGTTGGTATTGCGGTTGTCAGATCTTCAAGGTGCAAGATTCCTACCCAAATAACAGCAGCGACCTTCTTGTGTGAGGGCATCTATAATGCTATATCTAACAAAACGTTAGATTCGATTCAGCCACACAGGGCTTTTTTGCCTTTGCTTTGGATGAACCCTCTTGTAAGCATTTGCTGACCTGCTCAGGGAAGTTTGTTTCCTCTTTTGATACTGATTCTGTTTCTGCTGAGTCATTTATTGGCTCTAGCTCTTAATCTAGATGTTACAGGGAGGATATTTAGGGTTGTTCAGTCGACGTTCTGTAGACAAGGGTCCATGCATTACCATGACAAGATTCTATGAGGGGGCGTCTGGTGACTCAAATATTCCATTAGCGACACTAAGTGGGCTTAAAGTCATACATCTGACATGAATAAAGTCACCTCAAGATGAGGCGTCATTTAGGACGACTCGTACATCCACAGGTGACACCTCACACAGCATGTGTTCTCTGAATATTAAATAAAATCTATAAAATGAAGTTTTATGCATACCCCATATCCAGCCATCGGCCCAATCCCGTGTCCCAAATAAGGATCTGCATAGTCTCTTCCGTATCCTGCAACTGCATATCCTGCCACTGGTTGAGCGGCTGCTGCAGCACCGTACCTCGCCGCCACCGCCGTGTATGTCGCTGCAGCTGCATAGCTCGCCTGTTGGGCAGTCGAGAGGGGTGTTTTTAGTAAGGGGGTTGCTGCCGCTGCGGCTGCTGCTGCCTAGAACAGATACAGAGCCATGCAATATGCCATGCACATCCAAAGCTCGGTATTTTCATCCAGTAGCTACTAGATGGTTGCAGGAGACATCGATGTTAAGGCTGAGGCACAGAATAATCTCAATTAATGGAAATAATTTTTCATTTGAAAAAGTAAACATTTGCTGAACTCTCAAATACTTAGAAGGCTTGCATTGGAACATAATTCAGAAAATCCACCACAAAATTTCATCAACTTGAGATTATTCTGTTTTCACAAACCAAGTTAGTAAACTGAAATTTTCGTACCTAGGTAATAATAGGCATAGAAATATTAATATCAAAATGCTTTTTCAGAATAAACAACTAATAAAAATGAGTAAAACAATTTTTCACAACAGGCTATTTAGGGTTCAGTTGAAATTCATCTCAATTTTTCAGTTTACTTTTTACATACCAGAAATGGTTCTAAAGACATACATGACGTAATTATGGGCAAATATGATATATACATATATTTGTAGAATGTCAAGGCGAAACTACTTGCAACAAATCTTTGAAGTTTTATTGACTTTTTATTAATAAGAAATTTCTAAATGGGAAACCTAGCTATCTCTAGAGGCAAATACAGCTTCTATCAGATAAAAGATGACTGTTTCAGCTTAAGCCCAGAAAATCTGGAAAATGTAAAGCTATACCTAAGTCACATTTATAGTCAGGTTAGATCAATAGTTTTAGAGCGTCACCGCCGATTGATAATATATTCAATGATGAATTACTGAAACAAATGGTTTTTATAACAATACAAACTTATTAGATTTACAAATTGTTTTTATATGGACATTCTTTCACAATTTGAAAACTGTTAGAAGAAAATAGAAGATTTCCTCTAATATTAGTACACAACTTGTCACATTAACTTTTTGTAGTAGGTTCTGCACTTTCTACACTTATATAGTTTTTCAGATAACTAACAATTTTTCAGAACTCTCGCGTTTCTAAATACTAAGTGACCACCAGATTTCTAATTTTTTTTCAGACTGTAGAACATTGTACTATCAAACAAATCAACCAAACTACCAATACCTTCAAAGATATTTCGAGTACTCATAAATGTAGTGATCTGATGAAGCTGAATAATATTTGTTAGGTTTGCTCATTTTCGTTAGATCTCAAACAACTGTTTACTTTATCTCTATATTTCTTTTATATGACGAACATCTTTTTGAATATTTCATGAATACATTGTTAAAATTTTATTTATTTCCATTGTTAGTCTGGAAATTCACTGTCATTTGAATCATTATATGCAGAGACTCGACCTGCCGAAAGACAGTGTCTGTCGCCTCTGTTTGGAAAATGATGAAACAGCAGAGCACATACTTTGTGCCTGCCCCCCTAGGGACCGAATCAGGTTTTTAGAGGTCGGCAGAGCCGTACTCTTACCATCTGACCTGAAACACCACTCAACATACAAACCAATCGGCTTCGTTAAGAAGCTGCGTTTATTTTGTCGGGTGTGAATAGGTGTGAGCCACAATAAACTCTTGCGGGTTGCGGTGGAGGGTCGAATAGACCCACTCACTTTGGACCTAACTTAATCTAAAAATTCATAAAACCAAACTACTATAAATTTAGGATACACATCGCCTTTCCAAAATTATTGGTCTACTATTAGCTTACATCAACTTTCACGAAGTTTGTTTATAGTGGTATCATTATTCAGATCTTATCTGAATAATACTCTCCACTTGCCGGACTATTATTGTTAGATGAACTCTCTGGAGTGTTAGATTTGATATGTATCAACCAATATCACAAGATACACATATGTCTAGAACATATCACATGGTTCCGAGTTATATTTACATTAAAACTCTTCGGTTGAGGCAGGTTAAGCAAATTCAGTAGTTTTCAAGAATCACTTGATAATACATGTTTGTAATTTTCAGCATACATATCCCAAATTACCTTGCTTAGTAAGTCAAAAATATTGAACTTTTCACCAAAGTGAACTATCACAAGATTACATGAAAATTTTTAGTACAATGGATGGGACTCCCAATGTCTGAAACCTTTTAACAAATTTGAAATATATTAAAAAATATACTAGGACCAAAATTAGTGAGGATAACAAATTATAGTGATATTATAGTGCTTCAGCCCATCATCCTTAACAGCTAGACGTCACCAAAGGCGGACGACTCCAAGAACGGCGATTGCATCCCATATGAATGCTTTTTACTCTGTCTATCTACGCAGAAGAGTGCTCAAAAACATCATCATGCACAGTGCACATCCAGACAAGGCTGCTTGTACAGAATAGCACTAAGGAACGACCAATTTTTTTAATATGTGGCTGAGTATAGGATTTTTTTTTAGCTACAGTATAGGGACACACATTAGCAGTTTCTTCAGCCGTATCAGTACTTGACATTTTAAAAATTTCAAACTTTAAAATACCCTACATGTACACACCACAGGCGTTAAAACTTAACTCACCACTCGCACCCTAAGGCGATATACCTGAATGAATTCCGCCAGCCGATTGCAGTTAAATCTGACTGGCCAGCATGATGATAGTTGTTTATTTTAACCAATAGATGCAAATGTGCAGGGTGATCATGCATCTATCATTGCTTGGTTTACTTTGTTTGTTGGATGGACAGAGTTTTAAGTACTGCATTGGTGAAACGAAGAGGCTGAAGCTGAATATGTATGACCCGCATCAAGTAGTTTGAAACAGATATCATTGACAAATAGGAGCAATGTATTAGGTAGGTAGGTAGGTCTAAAATGAGTGGGTCTATTCGACCCTCCACCGCAACCCATAAGGGTTTATTGTGGCTCACACCTATTCACACTTGTTGGTCAAATAAACCCAGCATCCTAACGAAGCCGATTAGTTTGTATGGTGAGTGGTCTTTCAGGTCAGATGGTGAGAGTACGGATCTGCCGAACTCAAGGAACCTGAGATTCGGTTCCCAGCGGGGCAAGCACAAAGTATATGCTCTGCAGTTTCATCATTTTCCAGACAGAGGCGACACACACTGTCTTCCGACAATCCATGTCTCTGCATGTGATGGTTCAAATGACAGTGACCTGTGAGAAGGCCTGTTAGACATCGTAGTTCATCCCTACTGTAGTCCAACAACTGTTTGGAATCAAGCTTCGAAGGGTGAATAAACGCCTTCGAATGAGCCAATCCTGGAAGATTATGCCAATTTCCAGAATGCTGTGACTTCCAATGTCAACCAACAGTCTGTTGCACTCTGCATTGAATTGATTTGTGCAATTGGCAATGTGCACAAGTCTGTATGCAGTTCATCTAGCCTCTCTTTCCAGAAAAATGTGGAGAGGAGGTAGATCTAGAAGGATCTCCATGGCCGCTAACGTTGTGGTACTGATGGCACCAGTGATAGCCAGACAAGCCTGTCTCTGTAAGCCAGAGAGCTTCGCTTGGGCCGTTTTCTGTAAAGCCTTCGGTCACCAGGCAATTGCACCATAATTGATCATTGGTCTGACAATCATCACATAAATCCAATGGATTTGTTTGGGTCCTAAACCCCAAGTTTTACCACAAATCCTTCGACATGTCCATAGAGACAGTCTGGCTTTGTGTAGAACTTTTTCCAAGTGAGCGTTCCAGGTGAGTCTTTTATCAAGGACAAAGCCAAGATATTTCAGCTCCGTTCCAAATGAAATGACCACACCATTGAGGGAAAGTGGCGTTAGATCCTCCAATTTCCTTATCTTGGTAAAGGGGATTAACACAGTTTTGCTGGGGTTGACAGAAATCTGCTCCCTCAGGCAACGTCCAACGCCCATTGGAGAATATTAGAAGCTACCCTTCCCGACGTGGACTTTGCCAGAATGACAAGGTCATCTGCATAAGCTTGCAGATCAATTCTTCTGTCTAGGGCATCAAGCAGACTATCCACCAGGAGCGACCACAGAAGGGGAGATAGTACCCCACCTTGAGGGCAGCCCCTGGTGACCCTGAACCTGATAGCATCGCCTTGAAGAGTCGTAGTTGCAGTTCTGTTTACTAGCATGGCATAGATCCAGCCAGTTATGGTCGATTCTATACCCTTTCTAGCCAGAGACACTCCTATAGATTTAGATAGTGCATTGTCAAATGCTTCTTCAATATCAAGAAAAACAGCAACCGCAATCTCCTTGTTGTCAAGGGATTGGGAGATTTTCTCAACGAGGTTGTTTAATGCTGCTTTAATGCTGCCGGATTGATAAGCATACTGGTGGTTATTCAGGGGGAATACATATAATGCTACCCTCTTGATAAGTCCGTCCAGTATCCTCTCAAGTCCTTTCAGCAGGAAAGATATAAGGCTGATTGGTCGTACCGATTTGGGGTGTGGGTCTCTCCGGCCCACTTTAGGTATATACCACCCTTGTTGCCAACCAACTGGGTGGTATATAGTTCCACGCCAGACTAGCTCTATACAATTTTGTGAGAATAGGTAAAATTATTTATAGTCTGTTTTGAAGAAGAGCTGGAAATATACCATCCTCTCCGGGAGATTTAAAGGGCTGAAAAGACTTGATGACTTGAACAATGTATTAAATGAAAGTTCAAAGAAGATGTGCAGATGTTGAACAACTTATTCAAACTGGTCAGCATTAACATTCACAAAGTATAGAAACCTTTAATAAAGAGAAGGAAACTGGCTGCAATTTAAATAAACGTTTAGTACAAGACTAAATTAATTAATGGTAAACAATTAAGTAATACAAATCTGTAAGTACTACTAGTACTCTTTATGAGGCTAGAACCATAAAAAAATGTAGGTGACTGTGATTTCAAATCAAAATGTTGTTTTCAAATGTAAACAACTTTTCTGAATAATTTTTTAATAATGACGAAAATGAGGGTAGTTTACTGATCTGATCAAAATTTCTATTTTTTGTTCTTCCCTGTACACCGTTCGAAAATATAGAATTGCACCAATTTTTATCAGGAATGAAATTTCCTGACAAATGGATAATAAAAAAGTTTTCCAT